CGCAACAAAGAGCGGAATCAAACAGGGTCGCGATCCAGACAGACCGAGCAGATGCCGCCCGCGTGCGTAAAACCCTAGACAAAGTCGGTTCGGGTTCTAAGTGAAGGAGCGCGTACATGATTGAAAAAGAACGACTCCTCATGAATCATATATTTATTTCACTCATTTACATTTATTATCGCGAAAGAAGCAAACCGAGAAAAGAGATTGTGTAGAGAGGAAGAAGTAGGTAAGTTTTTTCCCGTATATTTTGGTGAATTTTCTTCCATGATGAAAACTTAAAAAGGAATAAATATTTCTTTTGTGAGCAGTGGAAGGAACTTTAAGAGAAAGAGGAGGAAATTTGAGAGAAGAAAGAAAAGAAGGCTTACTATGGTAATTATAATTTCATGAGATTTTTAATAACTGTTGTAATCATATTAGCGAATAACTTAATATTATCGTTAGCAATAATAAATGCAATTTAAAGGTATTTTGAAACGGTGGAGGATTGGTTAACTTACCATATGAAGTTGACAACTGAAGCTAACAAAAGATCTCAAAAAGGAGATTGAAAGAAATATTTATATGAAAATAGTTAAAGTTAAAAGATGGTGATAGTCATATGTTTGTATGTGAATTTAGATTGTAGTTAAAAAGATTATCTCAACATTCGACAATTTGAAAGGAGCTGAAGCCAAAATATTCAAAGTGGGTAATTGATGTTATTTTTATAGATATTCCAATTCCATTTTATTTCATGCAGTCTCCTGATTATTTATTCAATTACAAATGTTTGAAGGTTATTATATTCATAAGATTATATGATAAAAATTAGTCATTAAAGTGACAAGTAATATTAGTATATATATGTAATATATGAAATGTGTGTATATAAATTTATATACATGGAAAAGAAAAAGAAAGCAAAATTTTGAAAATGTATATATATTTTTTCTAAAAGCATACAAAGACAATCATATGATTGAAATAGAACAAATGTAAATATGAAAAGGAAAAGGTATGTAGATGCAAAAATTACAAGAGTTCACCCCCGTATGGTACTGGTTGGGGAACCAAAGTACCCGTGCATGTTCAATGGAAAAGGAAATGAAAATGAAAAAGGTAAGGTTATACATTTATTGGTACATTTAGACAGTACTCTTATACCAAATGGAAATGAAAATTGATTAAATATCAAATGAAAATGAAAGAAATGTTATGTGGAAATATTCAAATGAAATAGAATATGAAGTAATTTATGTGAAAAAAATAAATTATAAAACCTATAATATATGAAAGAAGATGCATATATTAATTATGTAAGAAAGTTAAAGAAAAATGTATGTTTATTTTATAGGGCTATTTTATAAGACCAACTATTGTATATGAAATGGTGAATACCCACCGAGTTTATTTTGTAAACTCACTCTATTAAACTAAGATTTTCATATAAGTCTTCTAATAAGTGAAAATTGTTGAAAGAGATTAGTACATCTATAGAAGACGGTGCTCAAATGATAACAAGTAATATATGGTTTACATATAAATATTAAGTATGTGAAAGATTTTATTAGTAGTTTAATGGAAATTGTGTTAGTGGCTCTTTATTTTTTCTTTGGAATGTATTTGATAAACTATTTTTGAATTTGAAGAAATCTTATAAACGTCCGACTGTTTGTCACCGCCTCGTTAATTCAAGTATCCGGGCCGGGTCGTGACACTGTAAAACTTATTTTTAGCTAAATGACACCATCCAAGTTGGGGTAAATAAAGAAGTTCTAGAAAATGGGACAAAAATCACAAGCCCTAAACCTTATTCATTTAAGAGGGCATTCAGAAAATTTTCCAATCAAACTCATTAATAGAATAGAAAACCAGAAACTGGTATACAAACCAACATAGGACCCATAGTTTTTTTTAGTCTCCTATGAGCCTACAACCAGCCACAAAACTCCTCTTTAGGATTCATGCACTACCTTAAGCTACTTTAAATGGAGAAAGCTTCAATCCTACCAAGCACCACCCCTTTTCTAGGCGCAAGGAGAAACCCATTAATCTCTTTTTTCCAGACCTTGGTAAGTATAAATTGCCATTTAATCTATTTTGTAGTTAAGAAACAACCTATACATAAAATTCTTTTCTAAGTTATGAAAGAATGCTTAAGAGAAATTTCATAAGAAAAAAATAGTGCGGAGATGGAAGGTTTAATCTAGGAAGAAAATAGGCAAGTAATGAGAGAGATTTACAATGAGAAGCATTAATAAAATTCATTCATCAAATCAGCGAACTAACATAGCAAACTCTAAAGCGAGAAGAATGACGTTGAAAACTTGGAAAGTTATTGAACTTCATGGAAATTTTTCAGCACATTCAGAATTACTGAATGTTGAAGATGCCCGAGAATCCCGTTTGAAATTTTAAATTTAGAGAAAACAACCCAATTTTGAATTTTGATGTATGCAAGGTGGGGGGGGGGAGTTTTTTTTCCCCTACTAAAATCAGCTCATTAATGAGCTTCTTCTACTTATTCAACTCATAAATTGTCATTTTTTTGGTTTATTCCCCCTTGTCTTTGGCTCTTTGGTTTCCCCCTCCTTGGCTCTTCTTCCCATGGCAAGTTCTTCCCCCTTTGGTTGCTGTTTCGGTTCCCTGGACAGCCCATCCAGGTCCCCCTAGTTGCTGGTTTCGAACTTCTGTGATGCCCCTTCGGTTCCTCCCCTGGCTGCTTGTCCCATGGTTGCTCTGCCCCTTCGGTTCCTCCCCGGGCTGCTTGTCCCGTGGCTGCTTTTTCTTGGTTTTTGTGTGGTTGTTTGGGAGCTGTTTTGGAATGAATGCATGCCTTCTTTTGTGGCTGTTTGGATGATGTTCTGGACTGAACTTTTTGGCCTTATATTTCCCATGATTTAATGGGTTTAATTAGTGGTTATGGTGGATGTTTGGATGCCGCTTTTCTTCTATAAATTGGAGATGTTTTTGTAATGAAAAGAGATATATAATAAGATTTTTGGAAGTCAAAACCTGCGGGTTTTCGTGGAAGAGCCTGCGAGCTTGTTCCATCCCTTTTCCTTCTTCTAGGAAAGCTTGCAAGCTTGTCCTCTCATTTGTCTCGGCTCCTAACCTCTTTCTTCTCTCCGCAAGTTCGACGACACCTGTATCTCTCTTCTCGACAAAGGAATGCAACTTTAGGAGTTTATATTTTAAGTTTGTAAGTGTCGTTTGCAAGATTCCTTTTTTATAAAAGTGAAGTTGTATTTTGTTTTAAATGTTGTATTTTTGTCAAATTTTTAGTATTTCGTGCAATTTTCTATTTCGTAGGAAGTGTCTTTTTGCTTGCAAAAATTAGGTTTTTTTCCTAATTTTTGCTTGCATCAAATTTTCAACTAAGGCCTATGCACAAGATGTCAAGAGGGAAAAATTTGCTGCAAAAGGCGAACTTAGCTAATCAAGTTGAACAATGTTGGTCCCTTGAATAGTTGAGCAAAGAAGGCCTTCCAAGGAATCCAGACAAGTTCAACCTCCCAGATTTAAACTAGGTGGGTTTAGCCAAATGGCTATAAAAGAGCAAACCAGCCAATTCTCTCTCTTGTGATTTATCCCAACAAAGATGAACTAAATTTGGAGACCTTCTATCATGATCAAGGAAATTCACAAATTATTGATATTCAAATTCAAATAACTGTTTTCTGAGTGAGTTTATAACAATATTCTCAAGAAACTGAGTTAGATCATTTAGCTCTGAGAATTCCAATTAAAGAGCAAAGATCACTTAATTGGATCAGGATCTTCAGCAGGATTGAATGAAAATTAGCAAACAAGCTAATAAGCCAATTTAAGATCAAATCAAGAAATCTTAACATCAGAACAAACTTTATACATATGTTTGCATGCATGTATGCTCATATGTGTATATCTATTGATGCTTACACTTTACAAGCATGCAAATGTGCATCTATGTACACCTTTGTGAATATGCATTTAATGATGCATGCATGCATGTATCAATATTTTAAAATATTGAAAACTAGGACAGGTCTTTTGGCTCAAATCAAGCTTTAGATTGAAACTATAATGACAAATCATGTTCAAATAGATATCTGAATCTGTAAAACTACAGCTATGCTTTGGCCAAGAATGAGATGAAATCTAATTAATTTGACCTAATCTTGAGGATTAGTTGGATTGGGACGAATTTCGATCATGCACAACTGTAGATTAATTTCATGAAACGTGAAGGGGCTGTTTAGTACAATTTATCCAAACGTGTGTACCTCAACCACCGGTGGGTCTCCGGTTGGGGTGTTAAACACATCCTCAGTCATGCATGGCAAAAATGTGGTTTCCATTTTCAAACCCATGATTTTCCATGACATCAAGTTATGTTGTTGATTAATTTAGCGTGAAGAATGGCACCCAACCTCCATTTATTGCTATTTTGGGAGTAATATTTAAATAAAGTTGAAGTTCTATTTTGGTTCTTAAGAGAGAGTTTCCACTCTGGATGCTAGCTTTCAACCAGATAAAGTGATCACACCATGAGGGGTGGCCATCCAAAACTAGACCCAGGGTGAAGGATATAGAAACTTTAAAAAGTTTAAAACACCTGCTGCTGTCTAAAGCCTCAAAAGGCTGTTCATTCTGCCAATATGATTCTTCTAAAATCTGAAAGAATATTACATTTGCTTTCTGGTGCTGAGCACAAGAATCTTACTGAAGGCAAATACCATATTGACTAAATTGGACCTCGATTAAGAGTTTATCGCCAAAAAAAGAAGAAAAAGACGGATTTCATTCCAATAGATTGGTAAAAGAAAACATAATTGAACATTAGAAAATAAGACATTGATGCTTCGATTGTGCAAATTATAAAGCGCCCCGAAGTTTAAACCATCAGCAGTTAATGATGAACTGGATTGAGCATTCGGAAACCCAAAACATCAAAATTTCAGCTTTCCAATAGGTTCTAGGTTCCATTCAATAATCTAACAAAGTCGTGGAACAAAAAGGCCTAAAAAAAGTACCTGCCGTGATTTGATGCTAGTATTAGAAGGGTAAATAGCAGCAGGCGAAGCCAAGAATCCACTGGGGAAGAGGAAGGCGAAGACGCAACCACATAAGATCCCGATTCCGATAGCGACCGCGATCCGAGATCCGATTCCGCCTCCACCGCCGCTCTTCATCAGCGGGCCCTCCCTACGACCCGCCATCATTTATCCCGTTCTTGTCCCGCACAAGATGTGAGTTTGCAAGAGTAGTCGTATGTACGGATTTAAAGGCTTTCCCTCACTCACTCGCCATTTCTCTCACGAACTCCCCTTCTCCTTCACACACCGCCAATCTCGTCTGTGCTGACCGTCGCCACTTCCTGAATTCTTCTTTGTCGTCGAGGGTTCCCGGAGAACATATATGGGAGTTGAATCCAGATTTTCCAATCAGGCCCGAAGTCAACCAGTAGGTTATCGGGAGAAATTGAGGAGAGGCTCGTCTAACGAAGTACCAAAAAAAAAAAAAAAGCCGCCTCATTAGTCATTTCTCACTGGTCGGGAAATTCGTTTGTTTTTTTTAAATCGCGCATTAGTCTCAGTTTTAAAAAAAAAACATATAAACAACAACCCTCCGGCGGGTCTTACACATTGATCCCATCCAATAACATGTGCACGATGCATCAAGCAATTTTTTTTTTTAAGTAGTTGGAAGAAATTGCATCTTATAACTATAATGGTAATATAAAATTCACCACATAAAATCATTAAAGTTCATAATATTTGTTTGGAAAGATGTGGAGACATATCAATCAATTTTTTCTATTTTAGATTTCAGTATTTCATGTAACTTGGTATGATTGTGGCCTTTTTTTAATATAAATTTGATCTCTTTTTTTTAAATAGAAGATCCCACATACAATATAAATTTGATCTTAATAAATGACCTATTTGTCAATTAGGCTTAAGAGGAAGTTATAAGAAGTTTAAGGCTTTGTTTAGGAAAGCTTTCTTACTGTTTTTTAAAGAAGTTTTTTTGTATAAAAGTTTCTTGAAATATAAATTTTTATACTAAAAAATTATTTTAGAAAGCAATGAGAAAGATATCTCAAATGAAGTGTAAGTGTTATAGAACATAATGGTGATATATGCCTCCTCCGACATAATGCTTTATTGTTTCTATACTAGTAATAGTCTAATGATTATAATTATATGCTAGCTCATTGATATGGATAATAAAGAAAAATATATATAAATTGTTGAAATTTTCTATAAATCGCTCTTTTATAAAATCTTCTTGTTCTTAAATAGTCTGAGAATGTAACTACCATAACCCTTATTATATAATTCAACCATGAATGCAACTATTTATGATCTCATGGCATTTATAATTCATCTAAAAATTACGTGGATATCAATTACATAGTCAATATCCTAATTTGTCGGTCATAAGATCTAAATTAGAATAATTATATCTTTTTCATTTTCTTAATTAAATCTAGAGCTACTAGTTTTAATTGAAAGCAAATTAACCAACAAATAATATTTATCTCCAAACATTTATATACAACACTAATCAAAATTCAATATATAATAACCAAAAGTTCGTTCTAACACAATGATCTAACCATATACTTTTGATTACAAAAGAATTACTAGAAATAGAACAACACTAGCCTTAGAAATCCTAAATATGATCAACCTCACACTCAAAAGTCTAAACCTCTTCCTTAACCTGAAACCAATTAACCATGTATAATGAGCTTACAAAGCTCTGTAGGTCAATAAAACCTACTATTAAATTCATAGCACAAAAACGAAACAATATGCATGTAATATTTCAGTTCATAGCATAGCAATATTCATTCATATGATCATGAATTATTGTAGAAGCGGCAAAATATATGCTAAAAATTAAAAAGTTTATTAATCAATCTTTATATAAACAGTATGATATGTACATTGCATCCGTAAAATTGTTTAAATCGAAATCAATCATCCATAAACCAAAACAAGTTCAGTAGAAGTTTAATCAACCGGTAAAACATGCATCTGTAAAAAATATCTAAAATCTAAATCATACAAAAATGTGAAGTCTAAGTCTCAATCATACAAAAATATTATCATATGTTATATAAGGCTTGCACATTTTATATCTTAAATCATCATGTAAAAGAAATTTATATTCTTATAGGAACTTGTATACTAAATCATATCATTATCATGCTCACATGCTGAAAAGTGAAACAAGAATATATATATGATTATGTTTAATAGTACTAAATAAGTAAGGAGTTCAAGCTTATGTGGTGTTTTTACATAAAATAGTACATGTATCATATTTCTTAGTCATTATCTTAATCTTAATTTAATTGTCAAGCAGCTCAGTAATAAGAATCATCACTCACTTCAAATAACTTCCTCTTGAATCTTAATCTTGAGATTCTTAAAAGATATCATCACAAACCTCTTATTAAAATAAAAAACTCGTTGACTCACCCTCCAGCACAAAAAAAAAATCTCTAGTCAACCATATTTTAATTACAAACATTTCTTTGTTACACACATTACCAACATAAATAAATAAAAAAATAAACATATATAAATTCACATTCTTGTTATCATTCATAATGTTTATCAAGGATTGTATCAAAATGTCAAAATCCACATTCTTACTTAATCGCACAAAAATGGAAATAATAACATTTTAAAGGTAAAAATATAAAGCAATCCAGTCAAAATGACCAGAATAATCAATATTATAATCTACCAAAAGTTCTGCAATAGAAGCTCACTAAAACAGAAGAAAATATAATGAATATCGATTTAGATAAAGGAATACATTCTGAAATCGAAATCTTTAAAAACATAAATAGAATAGAAGTTGTTTACAATGATCAGAATAATTTTACAAGAAGAGTGTAGGACAAAAAAATAATCGAAGCCCGGTTATTTATTTTCTATCTCTCCCTCTCCCCTTCTCCTCTCCTACTTTTCCCTTCCTTTCTTATTAAGACAAACAAGAGAGTGAGAGAAAGAGAGGGAAATGGCTAATTAAAAAGAAATTTATATTTAAAATTGTTTTTCATTACCTAGCACCACGACTCTCCAACCCAGCATCCTAGTGTTGCTTACTCATTGCATAGTTATTATAGAGCATAAAGCATCAGCGTCATCCCGTCGAATTTCAAGCACTACTCCTCCCAGAGTTGCTGTTACACTCCTGAACCTAATGTGAAAGAATTTGTTTTCTTTTTATATTTTCATTTATTTATTTATTTCTTATTTCTCAATAATAACTAAGAGTCATTATAACTAGATTAATTTGATGTCTAGAGCTGATTAATTGCATTACAAGAAATAAATAAACAATGAAAAAATATAATTCATATTACTAAATCAAAATTCACATGGTACATCTAAGAATCCTAAAATCACATGTAAAATAGCCATGTGCAACACAAGAATATATATAAATTAAAGGATTTGAAAGAAAACTAAAATAGCGGTGCAGAAAGAAAAGTATGAATGTCATCTAATGTCTAATACCACAAACTCCTTACATTTACTTAAAATCATGTAAAATCACATAATGAGCATAAAAGTCCAATCGATAATTAAAATCTTACTACTAAAATCAATGTAAGGAAAAAGAGAAATAATATGTTGTAAATTATATACAAAAATCAATGCATCAATATATATTATATGTACTGGTCACCTATACTAATCAATCATTCCAATTTTATCATTTAATCTATTTCATTTAGCCATATCATTCAGTCATTTCCATTGGTTTATCAGTTATACAATCATACAATAGTATTAATATTTGTATTCAGTAACAAAAAATCATCTCGGTATCAGTATCAATATAGTATCAGTATATAGTAATCAATATCAATTATTAATAATTAGAATCAATGCTAATTTATATCAGTAATTGGTAATCATTATTCTATCATATATTCAGATGAGGACAGACTCCTCTTATGACTCTCAATCAATGTACTCCTCACAACTCCCCTTAAATCACATAAATCAGTTGTCCTAAATTCCTATAACTCTCAATCACTCTCGAGCTCCTTATAACTCAGATCAATGAATCTTAAGTTTATCATGCGGTGATTATTATTTAATATATATGATATCAATTCAGTCAGGTCAAGATCACAATCCATTACGTATTAATCCAGTACAATATTATCATGTCAAATCAAAGTAAATCATTGTTGACCCATTTTTAATATATTGTTTTCCCTTCTCATTTCATAGAAATATTTCCTTACATATTTTTAACCGATGAAAATATAATAAGATCATATCAAATATTTTAGAATGATTAAGTCTATAACATATTAAAAATTACACGGTGATAGCTTAATAGATTTAAGAGAGATAAAATTCATAGAAATCAAATCCATCAAAAATAAAAGTATGAGGATATTTACTTATAATAAATAGAAAATTTTTATTTTAAGGAATGACAGACAAAAATGACCATAAAATGGCTTTATCTCTCCTCTTCTCTCTTCTTCATCTCCCTTCTCTCCATCTTCTTATCATGTTTCTTCTTTGCTAAGCAATGAAGTGAGAGAGTGAGAGAGGCGGTGGTAGGAATATTTATAATTAATATTATATAAAAATATTATTAATGGCATAGTGCCACAACATTCAGACAAAGTACCGTAGCACTGCGTGCACTAGTTCAAATATAAATTTAAATTTTTAACACTTCATATTTTTGGGTTATTACAGTTGTTGTGATCAAAATCACAACACCACATCACTATAGTTTAGAATTTTTTATTTTTTTTTATATAAAAAATCAGTTTAAGAACTTGTGGTTGTTACATAATTACTCATTATTGCATGCTAGGAGGGTGTTAACCTCATTTTTGTATGCAATCAATAATATGAAATCAAATTCAATCCTACGTCAATCAAAATAAGAAATCCCATTCAAAACCCAAAATCCAAAATCAAATTCCCAAATGTAAATCCAAAATCCCTTAATCCAAAACTTAAAAAAAAAAAATTATATCCTTCAAAATCCTATTAAATTATTTTGGATTCATGTCAGTTAGTTGCATGTTTATTAGGCATGTCTCTATGGTCAACCAAATCATTTTAAAGGCATATCAAGCCTCCTAACCCTCAAATAAAATGAATTTTTGAAGACTATAAAACCTTCAAATATTTATAGTCTATGCCACTAGACCTTACATCTTAAGAAAAATTACCTTAGAAACCATCCCAAAATTTATTGGTCATGATGCATTGAACCAACATTAACCTTTAGTGGATTATGGTTGACCATGATGCACTAAATTCTCTAAACCATTAAAAACTGAATTTCCTTTTAGCCTCAATATGGCTCAGTGAAACCAAGCCATGAAATCTTCTTCAACATATCATATATGTGAAATGGAATGCATTAAACCAAACCCCAAGCCATGGTCAATCCTGATTAATCAAGTTAACCTAGGTTTATCAAAATATCCTTTTACCTATTTAAACTACATTGGATGTATGAAGACTCCACCAAATTGTGGGATCACCTTTAATAAGTCCAAATTTTTATTTGAAATGAGTTAGGCCCAATTACAATGGCCCATACTCAAACCTGATTGACCAAGTTAATCTAGGTTGACCAAAATCACCTAAAAAATTCAAAACTCATGATTTTGACCAAATCAATCAACAAAACTCATAAGGATAGTCCATGGTGATCTTTCAGGAAGGCAAATATGTATTTGATTGGAAGTTTTAATGGGCAAATCAAAATACCTTAAAAAATTAATCATCAATCAACTTCAATAATTAAAATATATCCTAAAATAAATATAAAAAATATAAAATATTAAAACTTAAATTTAAGCTAAAATTATATTAGCTTTCAACAAACCATATTCACCCATTAGAAAATTTCATATAATAATAAATCAAATGACATATCCAAATCACACAACCTCTTACACTTATTATAGATAGTTTGTTAGAACAACCATATAAAAAAAAAAAAAAAAAAAAAAACCATATATAGTTTTATGCTAAGTTGTTGTTCCTTTCATGTGCTTTCTCTGTGGTGTTGACTAATGTAGATTTGTATTTGAATGGGCACTGGTTGTTATGGTTTGATATGGTGAATTTTATGATTATTTAGCTATGATGTCTACACCATATTGTTTATTATGTGATATGTGATTGACATTTAGATTTCTCTAGATTATGAGCAATATGGAAGTTTATTATTAATCAAAATTTTTGCAGGTGGTTATGCTTATGTAGTAATTTAAAAAGGGGGTTGAAATTAATCATGATTTAAAAATAATGAGATTTTTTACAGGTGTTCTTTGTTGCTTATATAACAGCCTAAACTCTTAACTATCGATATATTATTTGTTTTGACCTAAGAGCCTGACAGTTTTGTCATATTGGTGTAATTTTTCAGGTCACTCATCCTATAATTTCTCTAGGATGAGCACGCTTAACTACGAAAATTCTTATGAAATTTCCAGTTGTTACATCAAAAGGCATCTCAATGTTTAAGAGTTTAACTTCTTTTACTTAAGGGGTTTCACAATCTCCTCCACTTAAATAAGTGACATCCTCTTCAACATCAATATACCAAACTCATCCACCAGGAAAATATGACTCTAGAGGTGGCCCCTACAAGCTCAAGTGATGGCTCCCATCATGTAGCAATTTGTCCTATAATACAGGGTTCAAGAGGTGACTCCCATGGTGTAGCACTTTGTCTTATATGACTCCCATCTTCTAACTGATATATTATTTTGATATCATTTGTAACAGCTAAAACTCTTAACTATCAAGTTATTGTTCACTTTGGCCTAAGAGCCTCATAATTTTGTCATGTTGGTGTAACTTTCCAATAGGCCACTCATCCCATAATTGCTATGTGATGAGCACACTTAACTATAAAGTTTCTTACAAAAGTTATAGTCGTTACACTAAAAAGTGTATGGATGTTTAAGATTTTAGTTTCTTTTACTTAAGGGGTTTCACAGCTTAGCCCCCTAATCATTAAAAGCATGACTAAACTACATGTTGTTAAAAATGAGCAAAGTGATTGTGATTGTAATTATGTCCTTTTATGATTTACATATTCAATTGTTTCACTAACATGTAGGGAGTTTGAGTCATTTCAAATTTTCAAAAATATAATTCATTAAAATAACATTTGTGAAAATATATAAAATAAGACATTTACCTAAAAGATTTGGGGTCAAAAGAGTAAATAAACATCCTTTGATGGAGAATTCTTTCTAATTGAAAAACCCAAATCGGATGAACAAAAGAAGCCCAAAGATTAAAATTGAGAAGAATGGAAGATGAAAATATATTGTTTTAAAAGACTTACGTCATTTTATAAGAATAGAACCAAGTTGTTGGTGGTGTAGCCTAACCACCTTTACTTTCAGCAGATTATATATTGCAATTAAGTGGCACTTGCCACATAGACTTATGATATTTTGTATTATATTGATGATTATTTAAATTGATTATGTAGTATAAATTATATATTTTTTATAAATATCTTTCTTGTATGTGTATGTGCCTAAATTTCAATTAGGCTCTTCTACTCACAATTTAAAAATAAAATTCATGAATAAATAATATAGAAATATAACCATTCTAAGAAAGTAAGTCGAAGACCGTTTGAGATCACGTTCATATTTTTATATTTCTATCATTGTTTTAGGCACTTTCCAACCCGAGGGTAGAGTTCAGATAGTCTGATCTATTAGAATGAGGTGCTATGGGAAACATATTTATAAAAAAAAAAGAAGTTTTTTTCTTTCATAAACAGCAAGCATTCATGATTTGTGATACTTCAATTAGCATGCATTGAATTAGAAATAAAATAAAATTAAAATTTAATTGCATCAGTTCTATGAGCATACTATCATTCATAAGTACATGGCCATTTAGGATTTTCTTTAGATGTTGGTCATAAATTTCAAAAACTTAAATAACAGCCTACCCATCTTTCATAAAGATTCAATATCATGGTTTTAAATAAACTAGGTCGTTTAGCTAGCTTTTCACTCCAGATAGATGTAAGTCCATAAATTTATGCACTATAATTAGAATTGGTTTGTGTTACTACTATGCAGTGTCCAATTTAAATCTAGGTTCTGAGGTAGACCTCAAATCATAGGACCTCACTCTCCGGGAATACAATCCCAATTTTCTAATAAAATGTCAACTCTAATATAAAATTATTCTCTCTAAATTATTAAAGCCCAACATAGGACACTTAGAGTACTTCTGGGAGTATACTTAAAGTAGTACCTACTCTTCAATCCTTTGGCTTCTTGAAAGAATTGTTCTAAATTGATCCAATCTCCTTCAAAAATTCTTCACCTCTCGTCCTTGTCTTAATTATTGAAAAAAAATGCCACAACTTTAATCAAGAGTATTTTTAGGAGATTTAATTTTCCTAGGATATGATTAACCATAAAGGCTTACTTCTATGGGGAATTAGTAACTCGAAATTAAAATAAATCCTATCTTATTTTCATAAGATAAGGGAATAATATATGGGAATGTAAAGAATTTTATAAAAACCCAATTTTGTATTCAAATATCTTCGCAGAATATCATCTTCACTTTTTGAGGCAATATGATTTGATCATTGTTGTAAGAACTAAGAATTTTCTAAACCTCATTTTCATCCTTAAATACAATGGAATGACATTTTCATCTTTTGAAATGATACATTATTCCACTATTTGTATTTGATTATGAAAATGAATGATTTCTAAAATTCTATTATTGTATTTGAATCCATTGCAAAATAATTTGTCTTTCTTCCGAGATAATATTTTATTCTCAATGCAGTATTCGATCATAAGAATATGAATACCCTGAATATCCATGGACTTTAAACAAAATTTTATTTTCCCACATAGTACTTCCATCACTCCTTGGTGGTTATATCTTGCTTTATACGGTGAGGAGTGAGGAGGCGGAAATATGACTCCCCTCCCAAATGTCTTTGTCCTCGAGGATGAAATTAGTGTAGGGCTTCGTGAATCTTCGTATATCTTCCCATGTAGCATATTCGAGCGGTTCTCCCTTCCATTTAATTTAATTTTTTTTTTTGGACAGGTATTTATGTTTGTAGATAATCCACTGATTCACCACTAACTCAAGTTGATGGGTGTAAATTAGTTGTGGTATGATGGTTCTCATGTGTTTTCATAGCATGCTAAATGCTCAACCGATAACATATGGACCATGATGAAAGGGCAATAGTCACTAAGATTATTATTGGTGATGATGTTATTGAACTTGGGGTTAATCTCTATAATCTTTAGATTTTAAATTTCTCCATTTTACGTAAAAGATCCAAACTTTCTTTTACGTGAAAAATGTGTATTAGACGATACATTAGATGGGTATGTAGGTAAATGTTTCAGTAAATCTACCTAAAAAAAAACCCTCAATAGCATTTATTTGGACGGAAGTCTCCGAGTAAGTTTCGTTTGGAGTAGATTCTGAAAACAATTTCACCCTCCTCTCGTCTCCGTCTCCGTCTCCGTCTCCGTCTCTGCCGGCTAATGCTCCTGCGATGGCGCAGAAGAAGACCCACCGTACATCCTCTGACGACCCAGAGGAGCTCACCCGCACCGTTCTCCAGGCTGTCCTACTCGCTGACAGCTTTGCTCAGAAGTTCCGCCCAATAACGCTCGAGCGTCCCAAGGTTTTAAATCCAAACCCCAACTCTACCACCTCTTCTGCGCCTGAGGATGATTGTGTATTCTTCTTAAGAGCTTCTCCACCACTTGTTTATTCTCAAGGTGCTATTGCCACTGGTGAACGCCCCGATGATCGAGTATACCCTTGCCTGGCTGGAGTCCGTTGGGGTCGAGGAAGTATTTGTTTTCTGCTGCGCTCACTCTCAGCAGGTGAAAAGCTATCTGGAAAATTCTCAGTGGACGAAGCAGCCTGGCGCGTTCTCTGTTACCACCATCGAATCTCACGATGCCATCAGTGCCGGAGATGCCCTCCGTGTCATCTATACTCACGGAATTGTAAGTGGCTGATTTTTTTCTAAATTATGGTGCATTTCATTTTATCGCCGATGCCTGATTGAAGGGTTTTCGCTCGTGGATTGCACCCCAAGGGGATCATATGAACCTAATGTGAGGTACTGTTTGTATCAAACAACCAACACCTGCTGTTTGCCTTAGGTGATCGGTAGAGAAGTGTAGGAGCTTGGAGTCAATGGCGGTGGAGTGCCGTACCACTTTTCATCCATAACTTAGAGAATCATACCCAAGCCAGGATTAGCCTGAAAGAAACTACTCAAAAATTATCTTTGAGTGATGTGGGTAAAGCTAGGCCCCTTAATAAAGCTTACAGATTCCTAATTACAAAACTGCCTCTATAAGAAGAAGAAGAAGAAAAAAAAAGTTCTAATAATAAAAAATTATTTTAAAAGGGATCCTCAAATACATGTCCTTGATGCATTGAACACCTTGTTGTTTGTAATGGTGTGTGAATCAACAACTTCGAATGTCGTAGAGATGTTTATATCCCCTGATATATCAATTTGATATGCATTCTCTCCAATACTTTTTATGACCTCCCTTGATATATCAAATTGATATGAATTCTCTCCAATACATTTTATGACCCGAGAAGGACGCTCAACTTTGGGTTTAAGTTTCAATAAGGTTTTGGAGGAAACTGTTACTTATAATCGAATTAACACTTGATCACCTCCTTTAAAAACAATTAACGAGTTATCCTACTTTTGATATTTGGTGTTTTTCTTTGTGATCATATCCCTAACCTGTTGATATGGTTTCTTGATTTTGTTATCCCATTGTGTTTGTAATGAATGAAGTCAGCTCTAAGGGTGCAATAGGATTCTAGTCGTCAACTACTTCAAAAGGACCGCGTCCTGTTGTTTCACTAATTGATTTATTACTAGTTAAGCTTGGGCTAAAGTAATACCTCATTGCTTGATATTATTTATGACAAAACAACACTAGATTGTTGAGGCCACAATTAACAACCTCTATATGACCTTCAATTTGCGGATGAGTTGTAGAATTACATTAAAGTTTGGTACCTAGCGTCCGTTATAATATTTTTCAAAAAAAGACCCATAATTTGAATATCATGATCAATTGTGATATGTGATAGTTTTAGAAACACTATTTAAGTGTAAAATATCTCAAAATAGAGATCAAATATAGGAAGCATCATGTGTTTTATGCCAAGGGACAAAATGGGCCATTTTGAAAAAATGGTCTATAACTATTGTAGTTGAACCTTCATGTCTCTAAATATTTATAAGTTCAACCATAAAATCCATTCTCATATTTGTTCATGATGACTCGGGTACCAATGGCGAGATGTATAATTCAATCTTTTGACTCTTGTCATCATATATGACATACTTGGCATGCCCAACCACAAATGAGTTGTAAAAGGTAAAAAAAATTCACTTGACCAAGGAGGTGGAATTGTCATGCCCAAAATGTCCTTCTAACCAAACTTCATGAAATTAAACATGAGGTCTTATAGAATACATCGTGGAATACAAACTTAATTGCCAAAAAACAAATGCCTATATTGAATTTGAAAAAAAAAAAAGGTTCCTTATTGACATAGTTGCCATTTCCTTACAAAATCTACAACTTCTAGAATAAAGAGGTCTTTTATTATCTCAAAACCAACGACCTTAGGCTGAAGTGTACTAAGAAGGGAATGTCAGCAACTAAGAGCATCCACAATCTTGTTTTGAATAACAGCTTTCTGTTTTAATTATAATGAAAAGATAAAAGAAATTTGAATCACTTAACCTGCCTACCATCGAGTTTATTTTGATTATGTAGGTACTTAATAGTTTTGTGATTGTAATACAAAATGAACTCATTAGATAAAAGATAATGATTCTCATATTCTAAGGCTTGGACAATGGCATTGAATTATTTATCATGCGTGGAGTATTTGTGTCGCATTTTATTTAATTTCTTTATGAATTATGCAATTGGGTGCCTTCTTCCTAGGACTGCACCTCCAAGAAGACCATAATGTTTGACAGTATGTGATGGGGACATCATATCATGGAGAGTCTATCAGAGACGTGGCCGTCGATCTACGACCACGATTGAGTCATTGTATTTATGAGTTATTTTATGTAATTTTTTATTTATGATGTCATATTATATTTGCTTTATTAGTTTGCTTTATTATTTTCCCATTGTACCCTTCTATTAAGGGAGGTCATATGTAAGCCCTAGGGGCATTGTCGTCTTTTAATTTTGTGATGTCCATCGTCTTCAAGCCGCCGATCACCATAAAACTCCCCCCTTGCCACGGGTAACTTCAATCCATCTCCACCTCATTCACGAACCACAACCTCTTCACTCCCCACCGAAATTTCCCCCTCCAACCCACCAAACTGCCAGCCTCCTCTCCTTCCCCTTCCCTCCAAAATTCAAATCCCTACATGAATACTTGCCATAAATGAATATTCTTAATTTGGGAAAGATTTAAGTTTCAAATCTCAAAGCAATTTGAAGTTGAAATTTTCTTTCCTAATTTAAGAAATTTATTTTAGGAAAGTTTTCAAATTAAAGCCTATTTGAATTTCAAATTCATTTGGATTTAATTAAAACATTTCCTATTTCTTATAACCAAATTAAGCAACCCTTAATCCCTCCCATTAATTCCCCCCATGGCTATCAATACCGTCGGCCCCTTATAGTTTCGATTAGGAAATTATTTCTTAAATCCCAAATTCCCCTCTTTGGAAGCAATTCAAATTTCCCCACCTCCCTTTGGCCGAATTCCCCCCCCTAGCCCCACCTAATTAATTTATTTCCATTGGAGAACTTCTCCAATTGAAAATCAATTAACATCCTCCCTACTTTCATGCCCGCTGGCCCCCCTCTCTATTCTCTCCTTCCTTTAATTATTCTCAACCAAGAGGATCAAGAGGATAATTAAGAGGTGCTTGAATTGTATTTTCCCTCCACCTAAACCTCCCAAAATCTGAAACCCAGTTTCCCAAACCCTCTTTCCTCATAGCCGGCCACTTAATCCATCTCCTTCCTTGAGGGTTTGCGAGATAAGCTCCTCCCTCTCAATAGGAGCCTTCAAGGGAAGTACCAACTAGCGTGCTCAACACTTCAACACTAGAGAAACTACTTTCTCTCTAAGTTGAACCTTCAAGAAAACTACGAAGAACTTCTTCCACATCTCGACTACTTGTTTCCGGACTTTGACTAAGGTGAACTTCTCCCCCTCTTAAATTATCTTTCTAATCCCCTAATCTTGTAGGTGATGATGAATCACAAGGAGCCGAGTTTCACCTTATGCCTAAGCTTAGTAAACGTAAGATTTTGTTTCGCCGTTGTCAAAGCTTAGTAAATGTAGGATTGAGTGCACTTTCTATGCTTCTAATCTAATTGTTAGATTAGGGATTTTGTTGAAAGCTATTTACTTTGCATGTTATTGAATTTTTAACTTGTTTTGATTCTCCAAGTGCTTGGCATGTGGCTTAGCCTAAATGTAGGCACCCATCTTTTATTTTTTATTGTTGTTTTGATTGCTAACATTTTTAATCTTACTTGCTTACTCAAGAAATCGTGCAATTCTTAACGCATCCATTTAAAAAACATTTTAGTCTTGCATTAGTATGCCATTGTTCGATGCAAACAGCTACCGCCTAATGTTTGTTCGCTTTAGACAAGGGCAAGAGCTTGACGCCGATGGTGGAAGAATTCTAAACTCCACTATGAACACCTTTTCCCACCACATTTGCTCCAGACTTGGGATCCTCCCCAAATAAGGATAAACCTGAAATAAACTACCCCAAATCTGCCCCTCTCTAAGGGAATGCGGGTATAAATAGGCTGGCTCCCTTAATAAAGCTTATACCCTCCTAATAATAAAATTTAATTATGAAAAGGATACCCCAAGGCTATATCAACAACAATACTTATATTTTAGTTCAGTAATACTGGTTTGTTTGTTGAACTAAAAGAAGTCACGGCAATTCTGGCAGAGAGGAGCAACTACTATGCTGCATTGCATAAACTTTTTTTTTTAATAAAACTTGCTATAATTTATTTTTTTTAAAGCAAAGAAATTGAAAACCATTCCGAAAAAGTCAAGGTTTCTTTGGTAAGGTTTTAATACCACGATTTTGTAGTTATTCGTGGAGACGATATCCTCTTGAAAATGTGCCTTCCATTTTTATGTGATTTATAATTAATCTTCATTCTGTTTTAATGCCCTTTATGAAGCTTATACACTTCTAAATATAATTATAAAAAGGACCCGCAAAGGCTATGCCAACAACACTACTAACATATTAATTCCGTAATATTGTTTTGCTTGCTGAAAGAAATGAAGTTACTGCAGCTCTCAGAAGGCCAACTGCTATGCTGCATGGCCGACCACTTTCCTTCCAACACAAATTGTTTTAATTTCAGTATTTTTTTTTAAAGGAAAAGCTACTAAATACGTTTCCAAAAGTCAGTCAGCCATGTGGTTTCTTTGGTAAGGTTTTAATATCATATTTGATAGTTATTACTGGAGATGATATCCACTTAAAAATATACCTTATATTTCAATGTCCTTTGTGCCATTGATAGCTATCTGCTAGAAATAATCAATCTTCATGCTGTTTTAGTTCCTTGTAGTTAATTAAGTGCATTTTTTGCATTATATGTTACTAGATTATGAAATATGTACCTCTAAGCCAAAATACTTGGAAGATATGTTTTCAAGATTCTTATTTTGAGGGGTGGTCTGACTATTTGCACCGGAAACTAATTCAGTTATCATTCTCATAAACGGCTAGTGCAACTTTATTAGATCTTTCTTCTTTACTGTTCTTGAATATGATGCTATTTCTTAATTTATCAGTGCACCTTTATGCATTCATTCTATGTTATTAAGCTTCATATGTGCTGCAATTCTCACTTCTTCATCTATGTTATTGTTGCGTGGATATCACCTAAAAATCGTATCCTAAGGTTACTACATGTTATTGGTTGTACCGATGCTGATGTTATTTGTAGTCATATCACGTAGTGCTTGCTGATTCCATGTTCGAAGAATGCTAACGTTTTTATCTGATTTTGATAATCATTTTTGAATTCTTTGTCCTTGTTGTTACTTCAGTGTTTTTATAGCATATTCTACCCATGTATTTAAGATGTCTTCCAAAAAAAAAAAAAAACTTTGGTGTCACGTGAAGAGTTTTAAGGCTTATGAATGTAGGTACATGATTGTTTTATATCCTGGTAGAGTTTATATCCACCAGTTATTGTATTTGCTTGTGTTTCTACAAGTGCAGACTGCAAACTCGTATTATTGTGTTTATATCCACATGTTAATGTGTTTGCATGTTTTCTATGAATACAAACACGTGTGCAGGCAAAGGACCCGGAAGGTCAGGAGTCAATTTTATATAAACCTGTTATTGTATTTATGTAACGGCAGCATACAACTATTAAGTTCATTGAAGTTTTTTTTTTCTCCTTGGTAGTGTGAAAATAGGTAACTAAGGCTGGAAGGTTTTGTGGAATTTTTTTCTTGTGAGTTCATCTGCATGTGTTTGATAATTTGAATGCTATTTTTTATATAGACTTCATTTCTTATGGAAACTAATCGCACCATGTTTTCTTCTTTTTAAAGATACGGGGAGATTTTATTCTCATAAGCGGTGATACGGTTAGCAACATGAGTTTAGCAAAAGCACTTAGTGAACACAAAGACAGGAGGAAGAAGGACCCTCTTGCTATAATGACCATGGTTATCAAACATTCAAAGCCTTCAGCACTGACACATCAAACCCGTCTTGGGAATGATGAAATTATTATGGCTATTGACCCTGGCACTAAAGAACTACTTTACTATGAGGACAAGGTGGACCTCTCACAGCATCTCATCTCCCTTGATAAGATGTTGCTTGCTGATAAATCCGCTCTGTCTTTACATAATGATAAGCAGGTTTGCTTTCCATTTTCCCAACTTATAGATTTTATAGTTTTTCTTTTTCTTTCTTTTTCTCTTTAGATTCATCATCCCTTCAAATCTCTGAAGGCTTATGATTTAATTTTTTTTTTCCAGTAAACAACATTGGTTAACAGGTTAATAGTGAAGCAATGGCATAGTGGTTACTAAATACCAGTGTGAAATGTGAAACTTATCTAACATACATTGATAGAAATGATCTTAAGTTGCAACATGTTTTCTTTTAAACATTTAATGTTATTTCTTTGAGGTCGTTTGTTCATTCATTTATGCTGTATAGCTTTGTTTTTGTTCCTTTTTTTGTTATGTTGACTTAATTAAATTTCCTAATTAGTAATGTATTTGTTTGAACATTTTACCTAAACCTCGGGCACTTGTTTTTCATTGAAATTTTTTTAATTGATGTATGGAGATATCTTTTGTTTTCTACGTGTATCTTTTAACATTAGGTTTAAGTTATGGGGGATGCCATCCTTAATACCTGTATGAAGGCTAATGTCATATTGTACACCCAGTGCAACCTTTCATTCATTATAGATGAGATTTATATAATACTGCTTAGCCAATACTGGATTTTTCAGTTTTTTATTTCTTTTGTCCTTTGTCAACCAACCTTCCATTAACCAAGCAAATTGTGCTTTTGAGATCAAGATAGTATTGTTAGAGAGGTTGGACTAAGCTGCTTTGCTAGTTGAAAATGGTTCTCGTGCAAGTTTGTTGTCCAGAACTATAACTGTGATTTCCTGCATTCTCTATTGTACAACGCAAATTTAGAAACCCTTGTGGATACCAAGTGCTTATTTATTTTGTTTGTCATTTTTTCTACTAACCATCTATAAAGGACCTGTCAATCTTGAAATACCCCACCCATGCACTTGTGTAGAGAAACGGCTCCGTTATCTTGAGCATGCTCCAACTTCAGCATAAATCATGTAGGAAAATGCCATCAAATTGTGGTGGATGCTGTTGTCAGGAAATATTATGCTGTGTTCTATTCTCCAATTGTATTGCATTGGAATGCTTTGGAGAATTGCATGTAACATCTTTACTATTCACTGCTTATAGTAATAGCTTGAAAACAGATTTATTATTGTCTGTTGAAATTAAAGGTAATTTCCACTTTGAGGCGTTTGAGAATGGAGATTTTTTCTGATTAGCTGCTACATTGCTACATTGTGAACTACTAAATTTGAACAAATGGTGGATTGATATTAGAAAGTACCAATCACTCATTGATGGTTGTTCATGTCTTCTACTTATTGATTTCACAAAGATAGTGACAATTTTGCAATTGTAGTTTCCCTCTCACGTTGCTGTGCTCTTGGCTTCGTGTTCAGTTTATGGATGCTAGTTTTCTTATTATAGAATTCAGTTTATGGATGCTAGTTTTCTTATTATAGAACAAGGTGTACTGTTTGAATTATTCTGTCTGCGTGCTTTTTTTGGTTGTAACAATTTGAGGATTTACATGATGTACCATTTGGCATTATTCAGTGCTTCCTGCTCAGACTTTGTAATAGATGTGCCAGATTGGAGTTCATAGATTTTTGACTAAATGGACAGAAAAAAAGGATAAACTTACCATATAATTTACATTTTCATTCTATCTTCATATATTCATTTTAATAAATTTCTGATTCGCTGTGCAGGATTGCTACATTGATATTTGCTCTCCTGAAGTTCTCAGTCTTTTTACCGATAACTTTGACTACCAACATCTGCGCCGTCATTTTGTGAAGGGTCTACTAATTGATGATGTAAGATATTTTTATTATTGCTATAGTCAATCTCAATTACGGTTAGTATGCCTGCACCTTACTTGAATATTGAAGAATTCCTCATTATGGACACCATTCAATTTCACTGTTTTTTTAACATTTTTGCTAGTTGATTTCAGTTTATGGACACAATATTCTTTTCATCATTCTCCATTTAATATAAGGTTTAGTATTTCACTGCAATTCATTATCTATGATTTTGCTTGTTCTATAAGCTTATTTGCCTTAGTGCGCTAACCACCCTCTGCTTGTGCAATAATTTTATGTCATGCTTGATGACAATCATGCTTAGTTTGTAGTTTCATTTGAAATAATGAACTTTCGAATATGTAAATCAGGAAGAGTTCACTCCCTTTATTAATAATATGCAAGGATATACAGTTGTTGCTGATCTGTGGTCTAGTAAGTATACTGACTTATGTTGCTTATAGCTAATACTAGGCCTTTATAAGAATGGCGATTAGAGAATGATTTTCAATCTTATGCCATAGCGAGCTTCTTTATGATGCACTGATGTTGAGTATCTTTTGGTCAGAAAATGGCAAAGGGCTGTTACCAACCCTTCGAGTTTATACTGATCAGGAATCTTCATAAAACGACACTGTAGTTTCTATAACTCTCATTTTGAAGGGATTACCATGTATGTTTCAAATTGAGAAAATAACCAAAATGGTCATTCAACTCTTTGTGAGGGACCAAAATAGTCCCTAATTTTTTTAAGAGACCAATTTGGTCCCCCAACTCCTTAAAAGGGGACTTTTTGGTATTAACATCAACTTTTGGATTAATGGTGTTAAATAAAGGGATATTTTAGTCATTATTTAATTAAATTATTTATTAAATATAATTTTCAAGTAATAGTATTTAAAAAAAAATAATAATATAAGTCAAATCTAATACGTCTACTCTCCTAACCGGGTCATCGGAAGGCCGCCGTTTTACGTGACCAAACCATCTAAGGCGACTCTCTCTAATCTTATCTTCTACTGGAGCTACTCCAACCTTTTCACGTTTATGCTCATTTCGTATCCTATCTCTGAGGGTAAAGCCACTCATCCACCTGAGCATCCTCATCTCTGCCACACTTAACTTAGTATTATGCTTCTCTTTTAATGGCCAACATTCGGCACCATAAAGCATTGCAGGCTTCTCTTGTTCTCTATTGTGCCATATTAAAAGTTAAATTCTCATTTAAATCTAATAAAGAAAGGTCATTTCTAATATTTTCTAACCAAGTCTTTTTAGGTCTACCCTTCTTAACATAAGTCAAATATAATACATCTACTTTCCTAACCAGGTCATCGGAAGGCCACCATTTTATGTTTCCAAACCATCTAATACAACTCTCTAATCTTATCTTCCACTGGAAATACTCCAACCTTTTCACATATATGCTCATTTCGTATTCTGTCTCTAAGAGTAAAGCCACTCATCCACTTGAGCATCCTCATCTCTGCAACACTTAACTTAATATTATGCATCTATTTTAATGACCAACATTTTGCACCATAAAGCATTGTAGGTCTAACCACCATCTTATAAAATTTTCCCTTAGGTCCGAGAGGGAATTTTCTATCACACAACAAGCCTAACGCATTCCTCGACTTCAACTATCCAACTTGAATTTGATAAGAAACATTTGTAGATCTCAAATATTTTCTATCAATCTTCGGAAAACAACAAGATTACTCCACACAAATTCACACAAAAAACACGAAAACAATAGATAATTGTATTATTTGATGAAAGGGAACGGAAAATAGCAAGATACAATTGATCCTCTAATCGAGAGGAGGATCAGTCTCTCCCAAATCTCTAGATGCCGTTGGAGCCCAAAAAAAAGCCTAAATCTAAGAGATCTCAAAATTCAGCCCAAATTCAAGATGTCCTAATCCTAGGAAAACAAACTATTTAATGCATACAAATCAAATGGAAATCCCTAAACAGTCCCTACATTCAAATTTTCCTCCTACTTCCTTCAAAAATCCTTCCTAATCGACTCTAGGAGATCTGGCGGTTAGGTCGGCAGCACATAGAGGGGGATACATCCACCCATATTTTCACTTGATCCAGTACATACGGGACCGGCGGGATCGGCTGGACCGGTCTAACAGAATTCTACTAATAATATCCTCATCTATTTCACCATCATTTTGAACAATAGACCCAATATATCTAAAACGTGTGCTCTTATTAATGACATGCTCACCCAAAGTCACAATCCCCCACTAGAACTATTATTACTAAAATTTCATTCCATATATTCAATTTTAAATCCACTCAAACGAAAGCCTTTAGGCTCTAAGGCTGACCTCCATAATTCAAGTTTACCTTCAACTCCCTCTTCAGTCTTATCAACAAGAAGAATATCATCAGCAAAAGCATACACCAGGGTACAACTGATGTAGAACTACAATGCTTGAAAGGAAAGTTTGCACAATAATTTAAAGAGCAACACCATTTAAGTTATTAGCAATAAAAAACAAAAAAAGAAAACCAACAAATGGTCACATCCGTTTAGGCCAAGTTACATAAGAATGCTAAACCAATTTAAAATGTTTAGGAAATTCAAAACAATGCAAACGAAGTAGTTTTCAACATAAACCCTAATCTAACAAAGAAAGCTTAGTAACATAGATGAAAACAACCCTACGTTTACTAGGCGGAGGGGATAAGCGCTGCACGATTCTTTGCTTAGAACATCTCCTACAAGGTTAGTAGAATAGGATGATACATGAACAAGGGGAGAAGTTCATCTTCATTGAGACCCCGCGGTGATGCTCCACTCGATGTCCGATAACTGTTCGTTGGTTGCTTCGGCTAGGACAAAGAAAGAAGGATGCGATCAACGTATTGTTCCACGGAACCGTCAATCTCCGGGTTGAAGTCAAAGGAGGTGGACAACGAAAACAATGCCGGAATCTAGTTCCGGGTCAGCCATCAATGCTAGAAGTTGTAGTTTCAGACCTTGGGAAGTTCTGGTCAGCAAGGAAGGGTCTCTATTATGATATCATAGTAAAAGGGGCTGGTGAGAATTACGGGACAGCGGGCTGTCCTCCTAGGGCAGCAGTTAATGAGCCTTCCGGTAGGTGGAAAATCAAGTTCAGGTGCAGGAATTTCTGGCAGCAAGCTTGAGAAGCAGAAATCTGAAGTTGGATGGGCTGTGAGGGAGCGTTTTGGAGGAAAGAAGCTTGTCCAGATACATGGGAAGGAGACGGATAGCTGAAGGCATGATTTGGAAATGTTTCCAAGTGGGGAGGAGGGTGATTTGAGGAAAGAAATGAGTATGGGGGCCTTGGGAGATTTCGGCTTTGGGGAGATAGAGGCTGATTTGAATTTATTTCCAAGCGAGGAGGAGGGGGTTTAGGAAATAAATCATTGCATTTATTATAGAGGGGGGACCGGCGGCTTAATGATGAGGGAGGAGATTGGGGAGATAAATTGGATTACTTATTTAAGGCTTTAGGAATTAAGAAAGTATTTTAATAAATCTGATTTGAATTTGAAACTCAAAGGGATTTAATTTAAGAACTTTCCTAAAATAGATTCATGCAAATAGGAAAGGATTTGAATCTTGAATTTAATTAATTTGGATTCCAAATTTATTCCAAATTAATTTAAACTAAATTAGAAGATCCAAAGGGAGGCAAGTGGAGTGGGGCCGGCGGTTTAGCCCAATATGGCCGGCGGCTAGGGGTGAGAGGGAGGGAATTAAGGAGGCTTTAATGCTTCCTTAATTTTGGAGATTGGATTTAGAATGGATTAAGTCATCCTAATTAATTCAAAATCCAATGGAGGGAAAATTTGATTCCTAAAATAGATTTTATAATTTAGGAAAGAATTTGAATTCAAAGACCAACTAAATTATGGCAATCCAAAATTAGGAATTATCCAAAGTAGGCAATGGGGGATGGGGCGGGTGAGGCCGGTGGCTTGAATGGGGGCGGGTAAGGGGACGGTGGCAAGGTGGAGATGTTGGCGGTGTTTTGGTGGGTGGAAGGAAACGACTAGGGAGAAGTAAGATCGTGAAGAAAAGGTGGGAGATAGAGTTAAGGGAAATCGAAGATATGAGATCACAAAACCGGCCGTCTCCAAGGTTGGTGGGTGATGCGCCAATCTCCCTCTCCAAGGGATCTTTCCAAAGTTCTCTCCAAGAACTCTCAAACGCTCTCCAAACACAAGTGCAAGCAAATTCTCATAATAATCATTAATTAACCAAAATAGAACAAAGGGGGGCTTTAAATAGCCTCCTACAAGGACTCAAAATAAAAAGGACTAATATGCCCTCAAGGGCTTACAAAACTCATTCCCTTAAGCAAGGGTAAAAAGGGAAAACTAATAAAAGAAAAATTACATCAATAAATAAAAAAACATAAACATAAAAAAAAAATACATCGGATAAATCATGGCTGTTGATCTACAGCCACGTCTTCGATAGACTTTCCATTCGATGTCCCCATCAACAACCTCTTGCAAATGTCTAGTGAGAACATCAAAGACTAAAGCAAAATTAATTTATAAATAGTTTAAATAAAAAAGACTAAAATACCCCTTGATGTAACACCATTAATCCCAAAAAATTGATGTTAGGACCGAAAAAGGCCAATTTTTAAGGAGTTGAGAGACCAAATTTATCCCTCAAAAGAGTTGGAGACAATTTTGGTCCCTCACAAAGAGTTGAAGGATCATTTTGGTCATTTTCTCGTTTCAAATCTATGGACCTAGGATTGGGTGAACCTAAAGGACCTGTTTAATTTATCCTAATACATGATTTCTACTATAACCTTATCAAGCACTTTTCTTCCAGAATTTTTCGGTTCGTCACCAATTTCTAATCTCAAATTAACCTTTGTATGGTAAATAATGTTTTTCCTACTTGTTTGGGGCTAGGCATAGCATCCTTTGGATCCATGATTAGGTTTAGTTTATGACCAGCTTTTAAGACTGTCATTTCATGTCTATCTAGATATTAGTGTGATGCACAGTCTAAAGAATTTCATTAACATCCTTCAGAGCTAGAGTTTCTTGCTCTTATCATTTACTAGTTCGTTTTCGAAAGAATAATTGCTAACAATATTTTGCACGCAAAAAATTTCTATTTATGAAAGAAGGATTTCTTGCACTTGAAATATTTTTTGATGGTTTATCATCATCATCCATTAGTCTTATTACAACTTTTAATAGCTGGCTTTATGAATCGTTCTTTTCATCATATTTATTGACCACTTCATAAACTATTAACTTAAATTTATACAAGTTTTTTCTCACATCCCCTAGCAATGTAGCCTTTTGTGTATTTCTTGTTCTTTTCTTTCTTTCACTTAATCTCTCTTTTTTTTTTTCTTTTCTACCTAATGTATGCAGGGATGTATCCACTTAATCTTTTTGTTCACTCATTAGTCTATCATTTGCTTTTCATTATAGCTAAATCAATTCTACAAAATTGTGATTTTGAAACTTCTAAAAAAATTTATTTTTTTCAAGGTATAATAAAATAAAATTAGGATTTGAGGGTCTACCCTTTTTTCTTCCTATTCTTTTCACATCAATTTTATTTACTTATCTTTAGGTGCATATTTTCCTATCTTGCACATTCCCAAACACTTTTGTCTATTTTACTCTACTTAACCCTTGATAGGTGTTACCCTTCTTATCTTTCTAACATAATCGACTCTAATTCTATCATATCTTAAATTTTTAATATGTTTATTCTTATCACAATTAATGAACAATTAGCGAATCTTTTTTGTTGCTAACACTTGAACTTAGATAACATATCTAATTAACTATAGTGTTGTGTAATCTACCCTTCAATCTCCAAGATATCCTTTATTGCTACATGTGAGGCATCAGTGTCTCATCTTGAAATCTATTGACCAACCCAAATATATATGGAATCATGTCCACGGGAAGTTCATGGTAAGCTAAAAAATTAATTCATTGCTAAATCAATCCATGGAGCATTTGGGATATTGGTAGATCTTAGAAAATTATGTAGTATTTCTACCCACGTCACGAATGTGATATTATGTTTTATGGAAGACAAATAAAGTTTAATGAAAATAGCGTGATAGTCTTACCCTATCCAAGGTTTCCAATTATTATATTATTTTCATATAACATTTGTAAAGTGAAGTGCGAGGAATGCTTGAATAGAAACCCATTATTGATTTGAAAATTAGATGAATTGATATCTTTGGATATGAATTAGCTATCACAATTGATGATATTTTGAAATTGTTTTGATTTCTCTTATGATGGCCCTAAGGTTTGGGCAGTAGAGTTTCTAAGGAATGAACTTTGATTGGAAAGATAAACTTTACTTTACAAGGTATGCAGCTAGCTTTCACATTTGATTTTTGAATTGAATGTTTAATGAAGCTTCGTATATCCAATATGTTCTTAGGAATACAATGTTCCAGAAAAGGAAATACTCATCTAAGTTTACCTTAATTCTAACATTAGATTGATGTCTGTACTCTTAAAGATGGGAAACTAATGCCTCACCCTTAATCTTTAAGATATTCTTGATTGCATCGAACTTGTAAAATGTTCTCCATTTTCACCACCCAAGTTCAATTTTAATAGTTATGACCTAATATACACCTCAATTCTTTTGCATAATAGATTCAATTTAGTTAGATCTGTCACATATGGATATTGGTCTTCCAGCATCAAATTTAATTGAAATTTCCACCTAATCCTTGTGATGAATACAACAACAACAACAAGAATATAAACGAAAATTTTCATGATACCGAAGAAGAAACAAGATTACAGTCAAATAGAGTAAAACAAAAGAGCAACTATAATAATGTAAAATTAGAAACACCAATGTATATCCTGTGTTTTTTATTGGCAAAAGCATCAGCCTCAAATTTAAATGTCCTGCTGACTAGATTACTACGAAAGCTTATGATGTGCTAGTTGGGTATTACAGTAATAACAGTATGTTGAATTGTTACGAGACAAAAAAAGGACAGGCTGCATATCAAAACCTAAACTCTGGAGTAGATCCTTAGAATTCTTTGCCGAGGGTGTATTCTCAAAATTGTAGAAATATGCGTATTGCATTGCAATGGTTGAAACTCCCAAGGAAAACAACCCATCTACTTGTTGGTGGTCCTTCCTGCTGCTGCCACCCCAAGGCAAGGTTTTCCAGCAGCTGTTGGTGCTGTCCAACTTCTCCAAATTCAAGATCAGCACTTAAAGTCCCACAAAAACCACCTTTTCTGTTCAGAAGGCAAGAAAGAGAGTACTGAAACTGACCACCAGTAAAGGACTCTCTCTCTATAATAGGTTCCCCGGGAGCCCTTTTGCACCAGACAGAGCTACTGCAGCCCTTGGACTTCCACCAGAGAGAGAGACACCCACAACATTTTAGTGCCCATGGTTCTGCCTAGTCAACATTTGCTGCTTGCCAATGTCTGGTGACTGTTGCAGAATTTTTTAGGAGTTTGGCATTGCTTGTGGATTAGTCCCGGACTCCACTACAAACATATCCCTTTGTCTGCATTTCCAAGAACAAGAGAATCCTTTCCAAATTCAGGGTAACTAGAAGATAAACTCTCCAAAAGCTGTTTTCTCTCTAAGAAGATGGGGTGAATAGGCTAGCATCTCTTAGTAACACCTAGACTCTCCTAATTACAAAACTATCCTTCTAAGAGAAAGAAAAGAAAGCAGGTCCAATAATAAAAAAATAATTATGAAATAAATCCATCTGAGGACTATGTCATTCTACTTCAAGTCACTTCACCAGGGCACTCTTTCATATGTTGTTTCTCTTGAAGAAATCTATTTCCATATTTTGTTGTCAAGATAAGACTTCTATTATTTGTGACAAATGCACTTATACTTGATATGCACATGTGCGGTTTTATTCCCCAATATCAATTTTAGAGAAAACATTCATACTCATCCAATTTTGAATCTTGCAATTTATATAATGAGACATGATTTCATTGAAGCTTGATAAATTATTCTTTAAACAGATCATGGGATACAAAATTTTTACTCATGAGATTCAGTCAAGCTATGCAGCAAGAGTAGACAACTTCAGGAGTTACGATACAATTAGCAAAGACATACTCCAGAGGTGGACATATCCTTTTGTTCCAGATGTGCAGTATCTAGGGAATGGCTTGCAGATCAAGTTAGACAGAGAAGGAATCTATAAAGCTCCTGGTATGGCTCAAAATACTTGCTATAAATTGGGAAATGCAATTAGAAGCATGATTTTTTTATGCGTACAATTGAGTCCTCAAGTCTTTGCATTTTATTGCTGTCCTGGATCTAGGCTTGTTAAAATCCCAACCATCCCTTAGGCCCTTGATCCCACAGCCAATGATGGAGATCCGTGGGAGGCGCACTTGGATTATGCCAATCTCCTTCCATATTCGGGTGGCTGATTTAGGAAGGATTATATTAGCGCAATTATGAATAATTTTGTATTTATTTGTTTCTTTATTAAGATATCCTACATAGATCTATAAATAGGGATAAATTTGTGTAATAATAATTGAATCCTTTTTCTCTCTCCAATTATGTGAAACAGGGTATCAGAGCCAAGGGCCTTCATTGCCGTTGTAGAAAGATCAAAGAGGGAAAAGAAGAAGAAATCCTGGCCGGAAGGGAACTTCTTGGTATCCCGATCCAAGTATCGGAACATCCGATCCCATAGGAATGTAAAGTCATCGAAGGAGCGTAGTCGAACTCCACGAAGGAGCCGAAGAAGCAACGAAGACAAAGCCGGACAAAGCCTTGCGCACGACACGGACTGAGCTGACGACAAGGTCAGAGCTTGCGAATGAAACAGAGGGGGCATTACCGCCTGATCTCACACCGAAGCATGAGAACGAAGAAGACAAACGCCGCAAGGGGCGGACCGGTTCTGCTCTCACGCCAACGTCGAAACCAGGAGCTCATTCGGAACGGAGACAGAGCTCCTCTCGCGTGCGCCCTAGCTTATGCTCGATTTGAGTTTTTAAAGACTCGGCTCAGTTCAGATTATTAAACCGAGAGGAAGCCGAACAACAACGACAAAAATCGAACATCGACGAGCCCTGAAGACTCCCGCATAGAGGAAGACACTCGCTCAGACGATTCGATCGGGAGATTCTTTCGTTTTTTCTGATTCGCTTAGATCCGTAGAGACGCCGAGTTGACAGCAGCAAGAAGCCTTAAATCAGATTTAAGATCTGATTAAGACCTAATATCAATCTTTATTACTGATATAATCAAAATAGCCTTTATTGCTGATATAATCAGCCTTCATTTCTGATATAATTAAAAGTAGTCTTGTGATATCACAATGTATGAAGAAAATTCATCTCAGAGCGTTGATAAAAAAAGAGAAAAAAAAAACATCGGCCTTTATTGTCGTAACTAAAGATCAGAGGGATCTTATTTTTTGGTAGCCTTCATTGCTTTGCAGAATCAAACATATAGTCTTCATTACTATAAAAATGCTGGAATTTTGAGGAATATTGGTCATTCTACCGGCCTTTATTGCTAGAATTATGAGGAATGCATGTTCCTACCTCTGGCCTTCATTGTCAGAATTTTGCCATATATTGTCGTGCCTTCATTGCAGACCTTCCCTTGAGAACCAAGAAGGAGACAGACTTAAAGGATAATTAATCCACCTTCTCTTTTGCCCCACCACCGACCTTTATTGCCATTTCCAATATCTTGAGGGCTATTGTTCAACTCAGCCTTCATTGCTTCCTCTACAGGCTTGATTGATATAGCCTTCATTGCTATCATTTATCGTTGAAGCTAATTCTCCCAAAATTTTGACCAAATGGAAGACTATGGTACACTAAGGGACTTGATAATTCTGCTGGACTAATTACCAAGCTAGGAATGACTGATTTGTATTCCCCAGCTTGAGGGGGAGTGTTAAAATCCCAACCACCCTTTAGGCCCTTGATCTCACTGCCAAGGATGGAGATCCGTGGGAGGCTCACTTGGATTATGCCAATCTCCTTCCATATTCGGGTGGCTGATTTAGGAAGGATTATATTAGCGCAATTATGAATAATTTTGTCTTTATTTTTTTCTTTATTAAGATATCCTGCATAGATATATAAATAGGGATAAATTTGTGTAATAATATTGAATCCTTTTCTCTCTCCAATTATGTGAATTCTAACAAGGCTCTGTTGTCGGTGATCGTTAAGTTTTGGCTTGGGTTAACATTGTTGCTCTGGAAAATGCTTGAATTTACAATGTATATATCATTGTTTATCGCCGTTTAGAATGTTTGACCGAAAAGTAATTTAATTATGTTATCAAAATTTTTAGAGATATTAAGGTGTACGTCTTATTAAAATAGGCGTGAAATAGAGTGTTGTTAGATTTTTCTGATTGTTCGTAGGCCAATTTATTGGCTCTTTTTCTCAGTGTATGCTAGAAAACAACTTCCAAATGCACAGGAAAATTAACAACTTTAAAGATTTATTGAAGTAAAAGTATTTCTCTCAAAAAATGATTGAAATAGTTAAATAAAAGTATTACACAAATTTTATTGTGATACAAAAAATAATATACACATAAGTGAAATCACGTATCTATTCTACCATTTAAATAATGGTATGTGATTCTATCAATGAATGATAATAATCTTTCAATTTAAAAAAAATCTCAACTGCTCATATGTTTATGCATAAATGAAAGGGTTCCATAGAAGTCTTTAAGTGTTAGAATTTAAATAGTGTTATGTGCTATTGCACTCTGACACAGAGCATTGCTGGAAGTCTAGTGCACTAAAGTATCTTTGGGATATTAGATACTTTAAAGCACCACATTCTTTTTGTTGGACGAATATGTGGGGCTGGAAGTGGAGGTGCATGCTCATGGTCTTCAGAGTACGTTATTCATACGGATTAATGATAGCAACTGACCTAGGGTTCTATTGAAATTTAATTGATTAGGAATAGTTTCTTTTTTAACAATATGAGCTCTAAATATTGGACAAAAAAGTGTATAGAGCATTGTCTTGTGCTTATGTAAGGGAGAACACATTGCCCTGTAACTTAAAAAAATAAAAAATCTAACGATGCACAAGATCTGCTATAAAGCAGGATTTTTTTTCAAATTTAGGAACGTCAGATCAAAGCCCTTAAAACAGACTATTACAACGCATAACTCGCCTATTATTTCTTCTGATAGTGGATTTTGTTTTTGAATCTGATTGTTTTTAATCAGCCCATTATTATGAACTTGCGTCTGTTATGTAAATGATTTTAACATTTAACTTATTTTTACAGAGGTTGTCCAATCTCGCTCTGCACATATTGATTCTTTTACAGTGCTTGGTAATGCAACCACTGTTGGTGATAATGCTGTTATATCTAATTCAGTGATTGGTCAAGGTTGCACAATCGGGCACAATGTTACAATAGAAGGTTCTTATATATGGGATAATGTCAAAATTGAAGATGGATGTAAATTAAGCCATGCTCTTGTTTGTGATGGTGTTCACCTAAGGGCAGGTGTAGTTCTCGAGCCAGGCGTTATATTATCCTTTAAGGTAATTGAAGTTCTTATCATTGTTAAGATGACGTTCATTTATGGCTGAAATATTATCCATATTCATTCTTAATTTGTCTTGAGAAAATTTATCTCTTTCTACCTGTGGGGTAAACTGAATGATTGCCTACACATTTGGTTTAACCACTTTGATGTACTTGGCTTCACTAATTTGCAAATCCATCTTATAGGCAATGTTTGGGGCTTAAATCTTGTGTGCCACATGAAATATTGTGGACGTGGAGTATTTTGAACTCTTCTTTATACTGATGAGAAGTGCCAATAAGCTGAAGCTGGCATTTGGAGTTATTGTTAGTAATTTTCTTGTATAATCTTGTTAAATACCCTTCAATGCTCATGCTTCAAGAGTGAAACTGTTGAAAAATACAAAAGAAGAATACTACATATTTTTGCTTTCCAATGGGTAGAATTGATATAATATTTATGTGAGAAATATAGCCCCATAAAGAGGAGTTAACAGGAAAGTCCATATTTAAAAAATCATTCCAGACTAGAAAATAATTGTTGGCAGACAGCTTATGGAAGGCAGTAGTGTGGCAGATTTTCAAGATGGCTGATCACATGGCTGACGAGCATAACTTCCAGCTGAGTAAGTGCTTGCAAGGGTCGTGAAGTCACCTGGAAGGCCATAGATGCTGTAGATTGCCAAGGTGAAGCAAGATCAATATTTCCACACTCCACCTTCAAGATAGGAATATATGTTGATCATTACTAGCTTTGAAGTAAGGTTATCAAATTTTGATTAATCAAGAGTTTTAGCAGTAACAACAACAACAACAACAACATCAAGCCTTTATCCCACTGTGGGGTTGGCCACATGAATTCTTTTTCTCCATTGTGTTATGTTAAGAGTCAAATTCTCATTTAAATCTAATAAGAAAATGTCATTTCTTATATTTTCTAACCAACTCTTATTAGGTCAACCTCTACGTTTCTTCACATTAGCAAAATCTAATACATCTACTTTCCTAACCGGGTCATCGGAAGGCCGCCGTTTTATGTGAGCAAACCATCTAAGGCGACCCTCTATAATCTTATATTCTACTGGAGCTACTCTAATCTTTTCACGTATATACTCATTTCATATCTTGTCTCTAAGAGTAAAGCCACTGGTTCCACCTGAGCATCCTCATCTCTGCAACACTTAACTTAATACTATGCTTCTTTTTTAATGGCCAATATTCTGCACCATAAAACATTGTAGGTCTCACCACTATCTTATAGAATTTTGTCTTAAGTTTGAGGGGGACTTTTCTATCTCACAACAAGCTCGATGCATTCCTCCACTTCAACCATTTAACTTGAATTCTGCTAATAATATTCTCATATATTTCACCATCACTCTGAGTAATAGACCCAAGATATTTAAAACATGTACTCTTATTAATGACTTGATTGCCCAGAATTACAATCCCCCCACTAGATCTATTACTACTAAAATTGTACTTTATATATTCAGTTTTAAATCTACTCAAAAGAAAATCTTTAGACTTTAAGTTTGACCTCCTTAATTCAAGTTTACCTTCAACTCTGTCTCTAGTCTTATCAACAAGAAGAATATCATCTGCAAAAGGCTTACATTAGGGTACGACCTCTTGCAAATGTCTAGTGAGAACATCCATGACTAAAACAAAAATATATGGGCTTAAGGCTGATCCTTGATGTAATCCAACATAAATAAGAAAATACTTGTTCAAACCATCTAGTATTTGAACGCAAGTAACAACTACTGCATGCATATCCTTAATGTCTTGAATATAAACATTATTAATCCCTTACTTTTCTAGAACTCTCCATAACACTTCTTTTTGGAACTTTATCATATGCTTTCTCTAAATAAATAAATATCATATGAAGATTCTCCTTATTCTCTCTATACTTATCTATCAAACTTTTCAATAAATGTATAGCTTCCATAGTAGACCTACCGGCATGAATCCAAATTGATTTTAAGAAACATTAGTATTACGTCGTAACCAATGCTCCATAATTATCTTCCATAGTTTTATAAATATTACTTTATTATATATGATCATAATAAAATAAAAAAGTTACAAAATTTTTTTGATCATTTTTGTGATGTACAAAAATTGGGGAAACATGTTTAGGTAAGTTTTGATCTCACCTTTTAATGTTTTTTTGGACATTATCAAAAACACCTCAGCAAACTAGGGTGACTTTTAAATCAGATTTTAATTTGCTCAAAATCTGAAATAACTTTCCTAAAATAACATGACTTATATTAGGGAACCTCCACCAATCATGCCAATTTGAATTTAATGGGAGATTGGCCTTAATTTTTCCTCCCATAATTGATAGCCTAGGATTGACAAGTCATAAAACACTCCAATCAAGTCTCCATTGAAGGGGCCGGCCACTCCCTCTCTCCCTTTCCCCTTTTTGCTCCTCCCAATAAAGTCTCTCAATCAATTACTCCAAATTAATTTCAGATTTGGAATTTGATTTAATTCCTATTTCCTTAATTGAGAGATCATAATTGACAACTCTATTAAATCAATAATCCCACCCCAATCATGTCTAGCTTGGTTCTACATCACTCTCCTAAGAATTTATACATATTACACTAATGTTGAAATGAAACACTCATCAAATTATCTCCAATTTTTGTCAATCTCAATGAAGGCGACTATTCAAGGTTTAATTTAGCTCATTAGTGAAAGATTTTTGATGGGGGTGCATCACCTCTTCATTAAGATTCAAGAATAGTAAACACAAATGTTGATGAAAGTGTTGGGTAGTAGTTTCTTGTTCCATGAGGATTATTTTGAGACATGACTTGTGGTGACGTAGAGCATGTCATTCACGGTGATTCTAAGAACACCTTTACTTCCTAGATTTGTAGCCTCCTCATGTACATCGGTCTAATCTTGTCCTGTTCAAGTAGATTTAGGTCCATTTGATCCACAATTTGCTTAGTTAAGGCATGCAGTGACAGTGATTTGGTTTGGTTGAATTTTCAAAGCATGTGTGGAAGTCAGGAGCTAATTTGGGCACAAGTTTAGTCAAGTTGGCCTGAATTAATCTTGAGTTTTGTCTTTTACAAGTGCCTTGAGATTTATTTTCCATGTAAAAAATTGTTCTAGATGCAATAAGGTTTCTGATAATCCCAATGGTACATTGGTAGTTTTGTATGATAAGATATATTATTGAGGCTTAAGTTGGTGTTTTATGGATTTGAATGTTGGGCTAGAAAAAAATCATAGATTTTTAAGTTGAACGTGATAAAAATAAGAATGTTAAGTTGGATGTGTGATATAATTGGTAAATTAAAAAATGATTAGAGTGAGATCTTGGAAGATATTGTAGTTGAAATAATCTTGGGTAGTTTGAACATGTGCAATGAAGGGTAGAAAATGTACTTTTTAGATGAGATGATAAAATTAGTTTAAGAGAATTAAAAGGAAAGTTGTTCACATTAGATTATCTTAATGGAAGTTGCTCAACAAGATTTGCAAACAATATGCTTAACAAATCAGACAACCACTCAATAAGATTGAATAAAAGTGAGTATTTATAGTGCTGAACCCCAAATAGTTGGGACAAGCCTAATGTTGATTATAGTGAGTATTTATAGTGCTGAACCCCAAATAGTTGGGACAAGCCTAATGTTGATGATGTTGATAACTAATCTTTTTTTGTTGCTTCTATTGTATTTCTTTTGCTTATACTTTCGTTTATGCTAGCATATTTGTGTTTTGAAGTGTCAATGCTAATTTTTCCTTTATTGTTTGAAGCACTAAGCCCCTCCCTATTCTTTCGTCTTTTTACTTTCTAATTTGAAAGAATGCTAACTTTTAGAAATTTGATTCTAGTTAGATTTTGGCTTGCTTGTTTAAAATTTACTGTTTGGCTGATATATGGTATCAGATTTGTTAAATATGCAGCTGAACGGGCTTTGTTTTTTGACATACATAATACTCTTTTGATTGTGATTGCGTCAAATAAATTTTTCTTCCAGGTTGAAGTTGGGCAGCAAATAGTGGTGCCTGCTTACTCAAAAGTTTCCCTTCTTCCACAACCATCCAAGCAGGATAGTGATGAAGAATTGGAGTATGCTGATGCTAATACTGGAATTATAGAAAGCCCATGTAAAATTTCATACTTTGGAAATTTAATTTATTAGGATGCTTTAATCAAAATTGTGTAAATGATTAAACTAGCCTCTAGATTTTTTTGATGCGTCTATTTTAAGTCCCAGACTTTTCAAACTTTTTGATTTAGTCCCTCAACTCAATTAAGCTGTACCAATTTATTCCTATTGCCAATTTTGTCTTTTTTTTTAAATGAAAATGAGTGAATGGAAGCTTTTCATAAGGGAATTTAGGGTCTATCTCATTAGTTTGAGGTGGTTGTAAAATCGATCATAAATGGGCTAAAATCCCCTAATTGAAAGTTTCTCTCAACCAATTTTCGTCTGAAAAAATAGCAAAATTGATGGCGGGACAAAATTGAGTCAAAATTGATGAGTTTAGGGACTCAATTGAATACTTAATTAAAACTTGTACTAAAATGGACTCACCTAATATCTTGGGATCATTTTCATCATTTACTTAATTGAAATTATAATTTTGTGAGCTAACTGTATGGAATTTAAATTACTTCTTGTATTAAATTTTTTGCTAATATGATGCTTTGTCCTCATCAAGGTGATTTCTACTCACACTATTCTTTAAATCTTATAAGAGTAGATAATTTGTGAGTCTTTACTTCTATTTAGCGGTATAAGAAATGACAATTCATTTTTATTCTAGTAATATGTTAAAAATTAGCATAACAAAGAAAGCCGTGGTTCTATTGGTAAACATTTTTTTTGTTAGTTATTGGGCAGCATGGTGGAAGTAATAGTGCTAGACTTCCAAGTAGGGGTGTTGTCATTTGGTTGGTTTGGATGGATTTGTTGAAGCATTTGTTGAACCAATTGTTTTTAGATCTAAAATTTAGAAAATCAAACTGACCTAAGTGTAATTAGAACCGAACCAAACAAAGTCACAATATAACTTTTTTTTCTCAGTTTAATTTTGGTTTCGCTAAATTTTAGATTTTGGGTGCTAAAAATGAGATTTGGTGTGTTTGTAAGTTGTTCGTTTTTTTTTTCTTTATTTTAACTGTTCTCAAGTTATCTCAGATTTTTTATATTGTATATCTACAACATTTTATGTGAGTACAATTTATAAAATAGATTGTATCAATCCTCTGATGAATATAACTTTTTGTCACTAGTCAAAGATATATATGCACACACACATACTAGCTTAGCCTACAATATTAAAAAGAAATTTAATTGGAAAACGTACCTGAATATGAAATTCTATAGTAATTAAGATAAAGTTTTCCTTCAATATTGGATAAACTTTCTCATCTCTTATGGTACCATTGAAATAAATGTAGTAACAATAATTTACAAGTTGCAGAAGTCCAAATTTTAGGGCATGGTTTAAAATTGTGTAATTAGAGGCTTGCCTCAAAATAATTTAATAAAAAAATAATGAATTAGTGTAATAAGTTTGCTGGACTGGTCCAATCAAGCTGATCAAGGTAGACGAGTTGAAATCTAGGGGGCACGGAGCATGCTTGGTCGAGTGAAGCCTCACGACCATAGAGAAAGCTCCTCACGTTAGTAAAATCAAATTCGATCAGTTCAGTGGAATCGAAGTTAGAAGAGTGTTCACGTATGATTCTTGCTCGATGCATTTTAAGGAGAAGAGAAGTTTGTGCTATTCTTGGGTTTGACTTTTGGAGAAGCAGCATGTGGATCCATGGCTATTGTTCGACAAATGTGAAGGAGAAGAGAAGAGGAGTTCATGCGTTTCTATTCGACAGGACGAAAGAGCTGTTTTTTGTTCACTGAGTTGTTCATTCAAGTTTGACTTTGGCTTGGAGCAATTTTTGAAGTCGGAGGTGGAGGAGGTGTGCGATCTTATGTTCCTCTTATCACTGTTCAACGAAGATGGAGGGTTTGCGAGCAATTGAGTCTTTAATCAATAGAGAAAAAGGAGTATGTTCAGCAATTTGGCTGATATTGAAATAAAAAATGAGCAAGAGGTGCTTTCTAATCCGGTTCGATGGAGTAGGAGGGGGAGAAATATATATAGCGTATATAAATTTCTTATTTGAGAAGAAAATTATTATTCAAATTTATTAAATTTATTTATTCAATTGTTTTAGACAGGGAAGAAGAAGAATATTTGTTGATCAGTGTGATATTGACTCAACGAGATGGGAGAATAGTTAGAGGTAATCAATACAATTTATTTAAACATTATTTCAATTATTTTTAGAATATATTTTAAAACAATGCAATTGAAAATATGACTTAATAATTGGATGTGTTTGACATTGCCATTGACGTGTGATGCGACGATGTCCTTAACAATGTTCTTGACACCTCAGATGCTATTTTTTGATGTCGGTTAACACTATTAATGTTGTTTTAGGCGGTGATAGAATTGAGCAGTATAATCGAGGCAAAGAATTGTGGCAAACGCGTGTGTTCTTGGAAATTAAGGTAAGAGTTAAATTAATATTGTTGATTTAATTAAAATTTTTGATGCAAATAGAGTTATAAATTAGCTATGCAAATTGAAGTAATCATTTACTTGATTGTTAAGTTGTACGTTATGGAAGGGCAATCAAGAATTTAAGGAACATTGAAGTGGGAGATTTGATCTTTGAACGAAAGTGATGTGAGTGATTACTTTTTTATTTTTTAGCAATTTAGTTCTATTCGCTCAAGAAAAAGGACACCAACTCTTCCTTATAAGCTTGGATTCTATTCTTCGTGAGGTAGATTGATTTTTAATAAAGCATATTCACCCTGATGTTTTTGCCCGTTTTATTTGGATATGGGGTCTAAACTTATGAGCACAATCTCTTATAATTAATTACTCCACTTTTGTTAGAGCACTTTTAATTAATGATTCTTACTATCATACAATTTAATTTTAAGCTTAGTAATTTGAGAAAACAATATGCGATGCAAAGATCTTAGCTTTTAGTGATTTATATAATAGAATAGATACTAAGAAGGGAGAAAGATATATGTATAAGTTAGCCAAACAAAGAGAAAGGAGTAGTAAGGATTTAGCTCAAGTGAAATGTATTAAGGATGAAGATCAAAAAGTACTTAGAAGATGATATTCAAGAAATGTGGATGAGATATTTTGCTAAACTTTTTAATGAAGAATGTGAAAATATGATTGACTGTAGTGACCTTAGCACTCTAAATGAAAATAAAGATGTATGTTTTTATCGACGTATTGGTAAAACCGAAGTTAGAGAGGCTTTAAAGAAAATGAAGTGTAAAAGCTATTGGACCTGATGATATTCCAATAGAGGTGTGAAAATGCTTAGGAGATGAAGGAATTTCTTGGCTTACTAAACTTTTTAATACTATTTTGAAGACTAAAAAGATGCTAGATGAGTGGAGAATGAGTGTGTTAATTCCTATTTTTAAGAATAAAGGTGATGCACAAGATTGTGCGAATGATAGAGGAATTAAGTTAATGTGTTATACTTTAAAACTATGGGAGCGAGTTATGAAGCATAGGTTGCGGCGTGATACTAATGTTTCTCAAAATCAATTTGGATTCATGCCGGGTAGGTCGACTATGGAAGCCATACATTTAGTGAGAGGTTTGATGGAGAAATATAGAGAAAATAAAGAGGATCTACATATGATATTTATTAATTTAGAAAAAGCATATGATAAAGTTCCAAGAGAAGTGTTATTGCGAGTTCTTAAAAAGAAAGGAGTTAATAACGCTTATATTCAAATCATTAAAGATATGTATGCAGGAGCTATTACTTGGTGTATGTTTTTTGCTGATGATATTCTTCTTGTTGATAAGACTAGCGATGAGGATGCTCAGGTGGATGAGTGGCTTTACCCTTAGAGATAGGATACGAAATGAACATATACGTGAAAAGGTTGGAGTAGCTCTAGTAGAAGATAAGATTAGAGAGAGTCGCCTTAGATGGTTTGGTCGCATAAATGGCGGCCTTCCAATGACTCGGTTAGAAAAGTAGAGGTTTTAGATTTGACTTATGTTAAGAAAAGTAGAGGCAGACCTAAAATGACTTTGGTTATAAAGTATTAGAAATGATCTTTCTCTATTAGATTTAAACGAGAATTTGACTTTTAATAGGACAGAATGGAGAAAAAAGATTCATGTAGCCGACCCCACGTTGTGAGATAAAGGCTTGATGTTGTTGTTTTTGTACTTGAGATTTATTTAAATTAATGGGAGATGTTTGCGGGGATGGAGGTAGATCCTATCAAGATCTTTCGGTTCCGTCATCCCGAGAAAACCAACAATCAGTCTACCTTTGCTAAAGAACCGAAGGCCAGAACATCCAAGGAATTTGATTAACAACCATGTGTTGACTCTTCTCGTTAATCCTGAGTAGACTAAGGTAACTGTGTATAGATTTTGATTTTCTATAATTTTAGTGTTTGATTAACTTAGTGGGTTTATTAGCATAGGAGCTAGCCGGAATGTGATTTAAGTTGGGGTTGACTACATTTTTTGTGAGTCGACCTAAATATTATTTGAGATAGGACTTACATTCATTGGAATGCATGAAGGTTTAATTTTTTTAATGGGGTTAATGACTTTTATGCTTGCTCGATTGAACTTGATAAAAGTGGTGCTTACATTCATTGAATTGCCCGAAGGTTTAATTAGGTTTCGGTTTACTGCACCATTTATGATTTACCAAAATTGTCGGTTTTATAACCTAGCCTTATAGGCGAGTTTGCCTGATAAATTTGATGAAGGTGGGCCTTACATCCATTGAAATGTCCGGATTTAATTGACTTGGGGTTTATATGTATTGAAATGCTTAGATTTAATTAGGTTGGGGCTTATATCCATTGGAAGGTCCAAATTGTTAGAAGGGAGCTTACATTGATTGGAAATGTTGAAGTTAATTAGCTTAGGAGCTTACTACCCTATTTATGAGTTGCTCGAATTATAGGTCTTAGAACATAGTCTTATAGGCGAGATTGCCAAATAGATGTTTTAAAGTGGGGCTTACAACCATTGGAATACCCGAATTTATTTAAAAGAGGGCTTACATCCATGAAAGGACCTAATTTAATTTGGATAGGGCTTATATCCATTATAATGCAATGATTTAATTTGGATAGGGCTTACATCCATAGGAATGTTGCGATTTAACTTGGATAGGGCTTCCATCCATTGAAATGTTGGTTTTTAATTTGGATTGGGTTTACATCCATTGGATGATTTGGATAGGGATTACGTCCATTGAAATGATAAATTTTGATTTTGAGGGGCTTACATTCCATACATGTCAATGACACAAAATGGTGTGCGCCATGGAGCACGACGCACATATGATGCTTTTTGGTTGGGGCGGTGCGGCGCATTATAATAATGCGTGCTATCTGCGCCATGCATGGGCAATGACACATGCACAAGGGGCAAATAGTGTGCCCTATTTTGTTAACATGTTATAAATTTCAAATTATAAATGATAATTTATTTTTTTAAGATTTATATATTAATTTCACAATTAATTATTAATTAATTAAATATTAAATTAATAACAACAACAACAACAACAACATCAAGCCTTTATCCCACTACGTGGGGTCGGCTACATGAATCCTTTTTCTCCATTGTGTTCTATTAAAAGTCAAATTCTCATTTAAACCTAATAAAGAAAGGTCATTCCTAATATTTTCTAACCAAGTCTTTTTAGGTCTACCCCTACCTTTCTTAACATAAGTCAAATCTAATACCTCTACTCTCCTAACCGGGTCATCGAAAGGCCGTCGTTTTATGTGACAACTTCAGGTGGTGATCATTTCCCAACGATTGAGTTTTTGGGCTGAATTAACGTGCTGTTTTAGAGCAGATTATTTGGCTATCCTCGGTCCAGGCCACGACCTCCTCAGGTCTGGTGTCAGGTGGAATTTACCTCCATCAGTTTTTGCTTTATAGCTTCCTTAAAAATTTGGGTAGTCTTTTCCAGCCAATGCTATATAATGGTTGTTCTATCTATATTATCTTTGATTATCTCTGTATTTGGTTGTCTCAATAACTCGTCCTCGTATTTATCCGTTTTTTTTTTGTTTTTGTTCTTTTGGTTTTTGTTTTGTTTTGGGTGCATTAACGTGCTCTCACTCTTGTTGCAGCAATTGCTACTATGATGAATGCCCAGAAAGTAGATTTTCCTACCTCAGATGCAGATAGGTCGGGGACCTCTGAGGTGCGCTTCTTGCACTTTGTAAAAGTTTTTGCTTTTCCTTATCTTGTTTTAAATGTTGGAGAAATATATTATTCAAAAGGTGTCAAATTTAGAATAAAAGTAGTTCTTTTGAAGATGAAGTTATACATGGGAAGCTTTGAATTTCAGATTTATAGAAGATATATATATATATATATATATATATATCTGCCATGTTTTACTGATTTCTCAGATGATTTTATACTTTCTTACAGACGTTGAAATGATAATAATAAACAAATAATAATGCAAGAAGATAAAACATCTATAATTTTTTTGCGGTCTTCGACAATGGAAAATATTTGTGCTACTATTAATGAGCATCCTTGCTAAGCAATGGAATCTTTGATGTACAAATTAGATACTAGTAAATAAAGGAGAATAGATTTAGAGAAGAATCAAAGTTTTATGATGGGTGCCATATTAATTGTAATGTTTGGAAAGTTTCAATGCAAATGGATAAATTGAGCCTAAAATTATGAAATGGAAAACATGTCATTTTTATTACAAGTTTATACTCTAAATCTTGATAACTATGATTGTGTTGTTAGATTTTAAATTATGACACATTATTCTAACTGTTGCGGATTGAGAGATTCGCGGCAGCAGAGTTAAAATGTTTTACATCTTAGCAATACATGAAATTTCAACACACAAATAGATAATTGAAATGATAAAGGAACACCAAAATTTCTACACGAAAAACCAAAAAAGAGAAAAATCACAAGGTCTTGCTTAGCTGAAAGGATTCTACTATGTTTAAATATATTACAATGGTCGACCCTTCCCTTAACCTGAGAATAGTAAGATTATAATATATTCGAGAATTTGCCATTTCAGATGGGTACTGAATTTTTTAATGATCTTGATGGAATGACAGATATTTGAAATATGATAGCAACACTTGGGAGAAGGGTCAACAGAGGCCCGACGATTGTTAGTGATCCAGTGATTATTAGTAGACAGGCGGAAAACCAGCGATGGTGGGAGATCCGGCTGTAGTCAACAAACAGTCAGGAAGAGATCTGGCAAAAGTTCGACGACTGTCGGTGGTCGAAAAGAGATTCGGTGACGGCTAAAGAACATGCAGAAGTCCGACGATGATTGGTGGTCGAGAAGAGATCTAGCGGAAGTTTGGCGATGGTCGGTGATCAGGAAGAGATCCGATGACAGCTAATGAACAGGCAGAAGTTCAACAATGGTTGGTGGTTGGGAAGAAATCCGACATTGGCTGTGCTGGCTGGAGATGCAAGAGAGCTCTATAGTTTTCTCCTCTCTTCTCCCCTCCATGTGAAGAATAAGTGTCTATTTCTAGTTTTTTGGGAGTGACATGCCAATTAAATATAGAGAAGATTTATGGCAAATTTGGAGTGTTCTATCAGACGGTTGGTGTCAATCCCCTCGATCATGGAGTGTTATTCGAACATTTATATGTCATAACGATGTCGGAATTAGGCAATCTTTGTTTCATTGGATTCGTCTTGTCGAGCCACTCGATTCGACTATAAGCATGTCATATTCTGATATCATTTGGTCATCCAATTAATGCTTTGAAGCATTCAAGTTTGGTTTGGTTCTTTTATTTGGGCTCGGATCATGTTGAATTTTGATTATTTGGTTCGTCTCCGTGAGATGTTTAATTTGGCTATGAGTTTGCTGCAATTGGAGTTTGGATGACCTTGAATTTAATTTTGGAAGTCTGCAATTCATATTTGCATCGAGACTCGTGTCATATCAAGATGATTTTATGGTGACATATTACTAATTAATTGAAGGTATAATATCAAGTACTTGAGATTTTGAGATTTTTAATGTAATCATAAGGAATGATTTCAATTAAGTATATTGTCTCAATTTGACAAGAAAATAATTCTATTTCATTAAAAAAAGTAGAAAATAAATAATTTTAAGTATTAATGTATTTCACAATTCATGAGCTCAAGCTAAAAATTATATATATATATATATATATATAAACAATTAAAAATTACTTATATATATATATATAAACAATTAAAAATTACTTTAATTAGTTTGGACATCAGCATAATTTGGCATAATTTGGATTTAATCAACGAACTGACTTAGAATATAACTGTTAGGTGTTTTTATTTGGCTACTGCTGATATTAGCTTCCCAAGCATTCTTATAACCACTTCATTTTTCCTTTATATTTAAGGATGAATGTCCTTACAGAATAATCAGTTTGTATTTACTTGTTTATTAAGGAACTGAGTCAAATATGAAATGGTCCTGACTTAATGTTGAAGTTCATTTTTTTAATGCATTATTTTAGTGGCCTCACGGTTCCCTCTATTTGTTTTTTCAACAAGCTGGCATGAATATTTACTTATTTTATTTATAGTTTTACGTCTCTGGAGCTGGTTATATATGGTCATCCTGTGAAGGAGGAAATGAAGATGAATGGAGGCACTCAATCGCACCAATCCCTGCAGACAAGCTTTCGGAGTCATTGCTAAATGCTTTTGCTGATGTTGATGCACCAGACCAAGACACGAGCTGTATTCCAGCATCTGGAGAGTTGCTACCTGATTCTGCGAGTACAGTTGGTGATGGTGAAGATTATAGAGACTCTGCTGATTTTGAGAAGGAGGTATAGTTACTTTCAGTGAAGCTTCTTCTTTACCTTTCACATTAATTTAAAGTTCAATGAAAATCCAGTGAAGCTCGACTTTCAATTTAGCCAACATTTATTAGTGAAATCTAACTTTAGGTGGAAGCAACTTTTCAACGAGCTCTTGCTGGTGTGGATCTGGAGAACGTTATCTTGGAAATCAATTCACTACGGTTAATTTCTTTTTTCATATTTTCAGAAAGATTTCTTTACCTGTCTGCATATGGAAGTTTTCATAGACTTTTAATATTGAAGGTTGTGATTTTCAATTTACTTTATTCTATCCTCAGGAAAATTTAGGCAGCTTTACTTGAAGAGCTGTTCAACTTTAAATCACTTTGTTTTTGTAGAATATCCATAAATATTATTTTCAAGAACATACATTATACATTTTCCCTCCCATGCAAAATATACGTTTATTTGCAGACTTTAAAAATTTCATTTAAAGTTCCTTCTTTTTCTGTTCTTTCATAGTTCAACCCCAGAATTATTGTTGTTTCTTGAGCAATATGAAGTAAGACCTCGTATTCTTATTTTCAGACTGTCTTATCACATGTCACATGCTGATTGTGCTGGGGCATTGTTCCATTCTATAATGAAAGCAGCATTGGTACCTTCCTATTCTTCTAAAAGTAAGAATTTACTTGAGATTCATGTTGAATTGCACGTTCTAGTGTTCATCATTTCGGGATTCATACTTCAACATCTTTGAATAGGTTGAAATAAACCAACATAACTTTTATCTCCAAGAATGTTACTTAGATGACTGAGCACGTATTCCAAGCATTTGGAAGCATTGATAGTTTGGGCTTCTCGTGGGAGTGTTGTAGCGGTTTTGACTACAGTTGCTGCAGCTGTATGATGGATTCTATCAAGAGCATTGTGAAGTTTCTACTCCATGACATCTATGGCCAATATTCATTGATTTAAGAGCGATTTTCTTTGGCTGCATTATTTAATAGCTTTGGAGACATGTTTGTACTTGGTCCTTAGAGAGCCTTTTGTTTAAGGATTCCTTAGGTTTACTTTTCATTAATTAATTAATTGTATTTAAAGTCTTGTAGTCTGTCTGGAATTTTAAGCCACCCGTTTCCTTTGTTTGGAATTCCTTTGTTTGGAATGGTTTAATGCATTATCTTCCATTGAGAGCTTCAGAGAACTTTATGAGGGCGGTACTAGCTTGGTACACACCTCTTTCCCTTAGTCCTGACACTACCCCGCATCTCCTTCACAGTCCAGATTTAGCTAACTGTTTTGCTTTTTTTCTGCCCCAAATGGAAGCATTCCAACAGTCTTCCCTCCCTTTAAGATTACCATGAACATATATTAAGCTTCCACACCTTCTTGAGCCTGTATCTCCTCTTCATTGGCTGGGTTTGGGCGGGAAGCTGGGAGCAACATGTTTTGCAGCCTGTGGGTGTGAAAGCTGCCTTCTTCATTGTGTTTGAGCTCGGCCTTGTGTGGGGGTGCACGCCTAACAGCCTTATTATCATGTAAACTAAATTGTTATAGTCAAATCAGACCTTTGTGAAAATCCAATGTTGCAGATAATTTTATTTATGTTGACCATAAAATCTATCCTTTGATGATTCAAGCATGTCCAACGAATATGACATTCGGCTGATGCAACACCGCTCGAGGCAAGTTCGATGTGCCCGACCATACACAAAAGTACCCAAAGCTCCATCCACATGCGAAACAAGCATCAATGGTTTGTTCAAAATGTTAAAATAATGATAGAGGTGCCCTTCACGCTCACTCGGGACAACCGATGAAATAGCGAACTACGACTGTGACATTGTGCAGACTTGTCGAACGACCCCTGATCATGATACATGCTACGCCATTGCATTTATAAGTCAAAATTATCGAAGAGAGCTTTCACGATTAACTCGAGCGAAAGTGGTCGAAAACGATGAACCACGAGCGAAATGTTATACATAATTGAAACGACTTCCTTTCACAAAACGAATCGTGCCATCGTGTCCAAAATGCTTAAATTGCTAGGAAATGGCAACCATATATTATTTGTTGGTGCTTGCATGAGAAAAAAAAATAAAAAATTACACTCATGCAAGTTGAATGAGGCAAAATATGACGTGCGAGTGATGAAATCTTAGCGAGCGAATCAACAAGCATTTAAATTAGCTATATTCCTATTAAAATTAAAATTTTATTTTTGAAATTTAAATATTTAAATAATTAAACAAATAAAAAAATTAGGATATTTTGGGTTGAGAGAGTCATTGTAGATGGTTCGGACACATAAAACATCGTCATTCCAATGGCTTGATTAGGAGAGTAGATGAATTATATTTGGCCTGTGTTAAGAAAGGTAGAGGTAGGCTTAAAAAAACTTGGTTAGAAAATATTAGAAATGACATTTATTTGTTAGATTTGAATGAGAATATAACTCTTAACAGGGCAAAATGAAGAAAAAGTCAAGGTTGTGAAAACCGGATCGGACAATGAACCGGACGAGGGAGAGGTTAACGGTTCGACCGGTCGAACCGGATGATGTAATAAATAATAATATTATTAAAAATTAATAAAATAAAAATAATATAATGTAAGTATATGACCATTTAATAATATTTATAAAATTTTAAAATATATAATAAAATTTTATACATATAAATATCATTTAAGAATAATATATTTATAAGAATAATACTTAATATAATATATAAATTTATAATATAAAAAATTTATTTAATAAAAATATTTTATAAAGTTTAAAAACATTTAATAAACTAAAATATATATTTAAAATTTTAATTAAAACAAAAATAAAATATTTTTATAAACCGGCCGGTTCTTTTCAACCCGGACCGGTTCAACGGTTCACCGGTTGAACCGCCGGTTCAATCCGATTTGATCTGGTTCGATGCAGAACTGGTTTTGAAGCTTGATCGGACCGGCCAGGCGGCCACCAGACCGGCTCACGGTTGAACCAGTTATACCGGCCGGTCCGGTCTGATTTTCAAAATAGTGGAAAAAGCTGGATTCATATAGCTGACCCCACGTAGTGGGATAAAGGCTTGTTGTTGTTTTTTCTATTGAATCTTTTGGATACAGAAGTATCCCATCCTTTGCTAAGGCAAAAGGATATTTTCTCCTATATTTATTAATTATTAATTAATAAATTATAGATAGAACAATAAAAACCTAATCTAAACCCTATCCTATTTCACTCACATTCTCATTTCCCCCTCTAAAAACCTAGCAGCCGCCCCTCTTTCAATACACTCGGTCGCCTCACCCACAACAACCCCTTATCTCACTATGCCGCAGAGGGGTGTAAACGTGTCGAGTCTAGTCGAGTATCCGCCTAATCGAGCTAAGGCTGTTTAGTTCTTACTAAGCTCGAGCTCGACTCCTTAAAAAAATTATAGGCTCGATTTTGTTTGCAAAGCTCAAGCTTGACTCAATTGCTGAGCTCGTTTTCTTTATTTCAAATTAAAAATGATATATTTTTAGAATTTTTTATTTTTAATGTAGAATTAATTAAAAATGTTAAAATATATTATATAATGATAATTTAAAGTAGTTTTAAGATAAATTTCAGTTAATTGAGCGGTTCAACGAGCTTATGAGCTGAGCTAGGCTGAGTTTGAGCTCGAGTTTAGGCTCGAGCTCGAATTCAAACTCGTGGCTCGATAAGCTCAACTTGTGATCTCATTGACGAGTCAAGCTGGAGTTGGCTAGAGAGTCGGCTTGGCGCACTTATGCCCTTAGTGTGGCATGATCCCCATAGTAGATTCCAATTACTGTTCATTTCCCTAGATCGGACCCCTCCTCTCGATTTCCCGTGGCCGCACTCCCCCATAGCTGGTCAAGCCGCCAACTAACTTGTCGACCCAGCTCGTCGTTGCCCCTGCATGCATGCATCGTTGCCCTCCAATCTAAATCCGATAACCGGCTTCCACATGCGCCCAACACAAGATATGAAACAAGTTACCGTACATGTTGCCATACTCGCCCTATTTTGCCTTTTTTTCCATCAGATCCGCAATTCCCTTTTCATCCTAGCGAACATAAGGTATTTTTAAAATTTCTAAAATTGAAAAATACGAAAAAATGTGATGGTGAATGAAATAACCAAATCAAGATATTTTCAAGTCATATGCACAAATTCTAGGGCAATCTCCAAACTCCACCAAAATTGCCTCAATAAGCTTACAAATGCATTCACGCACTAGATGTCACACACAAGCATCATATGGATGTGTTGAAAATTGTGCAAATACGTAATTCTGGCACATTGAAAGTTGCACGAGAAGATAATTGTTAAAAATGGTAAGTCTGCATGTCCATAGATGAATATGTACGCATGCCATTTGAGAATGCTGCGCAAATTGAATAGTAAGTGCATTTTAAAAACCCTAATTCAAAAAGGTGCGCAAATGTGTCAAAATTCCACAATCTTTTTTCAAATTCTAAATTTCTTGAAAATGAAAACTCCACATGTGCTTCGACGAGGGTGATGAATACGTAAGCTTGATGTCTGAAAGTGTCGCGTTAACTGAAAAATTATAAATAATTTTAAACTTCTCTCTTTGAAATGTGTGCAAGTGTATCTTGCAAACGCATTGAAAACATGTATATTATTTGAAAATAAATTTAAATTGTCTCTCATGTGCTTCGATAAACATGCTAACCACACAAACACAAATGCTTGTGAACACCGCATTGGGTTAAAAGTGAGCTAAATTAAAATTTTATTTTCATGAGCTTTGATCATTACACCAAACTCCTAAATCAAAGTCCTAGAATGTTGCATAGTTAAATGCAAACATAAATTTCAAGTTGAATTCTCCTCCTTTGTAGAATTAGAGTTGGTGAGACTTGAATTTATAAGCGGATGTATAATCGAAAATTCATCGAGAAATTTTGATTTTATATTCACATTAAGACCTTCAACCCTCTTTAAAGGAAATTTATCATAAACATACAAGGTCTTAGTCCTAACATTCGAATGATAATTCACAAAATTAGTAAAATCGGTCATCCGTTACGGGTAAATATAGTTGACAAAATTTGAACTAAGAAATAAAGTTACTTAAAAAATCGATGATATCCGTATTGAATGTGAATCTCATCTAGAGGGGACTAGTTTTTATAAATACCTCCAAACCTTGACAATATACAAATATTCTTAAAGTAACTTCAATTTTACTTTGATGATGATCGTGTTGACAAAAAGTTAACTAAAAGGGTTCCTATCTTTTTAAATGCCCAATCCCAAAATTAATCTCTCAAGGGTTTAAATTTTAATGGAAATTCAAAAGTATGATATTTACTAAAATTTAAATATTTAAACTGAAATCAAACACCAAAAACTCTATACAAAATCCTTCTATCATTCGCAACAGTTTATCGAGGAGGATAAATTTGAGGATAACTTCGTCTCATAAAAGCTAATGACTTGTTGAGCATATCCTTATGGTTCTTTCTTAAATAATCTCTCACTAGTAAGGAGGTTGCACGTGTCTTCTAATCAATAGTTTGGCTGCCAAATGATACCGCATGTAAACAATTATGATGAAGGCCCTCTGACTAGGTGATTTTGTTTCGAAAGGGTACCACTAAATTAGGATCATGACTAGTGCATGTATGTTTCTTAATGACTTAAAACTCTTGAGTAATGAATCATACGATATACTTGATAGGGTAAAAAGCTTTCTATTAGTTAAGGTTGATTTGAATTTGTCCTCTTAGGCAAATATCTATCCCAAGTCTATAAGGTAGCATTAAATAAAACATCTCATGGTTATTGACAAGGATCCTTCGGTTAGGTTGAGTTGAGTACCTCTTTTGACTATGTAGATTAGGGACCAAAATATCCTTGGATGACTGAACCATGACATATTGATTGGGTTTATCAACATTCCTTCACCATCTATTCTATTTCTCTGGTGGTAAATTTCAAACCCTAAAAATTCAAATTAAACATTGAAATTTTTGCTACTATATTTTAGATACTTAGTGTTTGTCTAATAGCTAGCCTTAATTGAAATTTCTCTGTCGTCATTGAAACGGGTGTTAATCATAGGGGCTTGTGTTATGGGAAACCTAAACTCAGTTAATAACGTCTTCACGAAACGAGTATGAAATTTTTGGGCAGTGTTTTATCTTAAATCTAGTTTGCCTGCTAAAAATTTGACCTAGAACATCATCCGTTAAAACTCTCCTCATATAAAAAGGCTCGGAGAAGCTAGGATGCCATTTTTTATAACCCACAATTTATGAAACAAAAAATAAAAAATATATATTACTTCAAAACTTATTACTTATAATTTAAGCGTATATATTCTAATTACCTATTATGAAATTATGATTAGAATAATTTTGCGCTTTAGAATGATATGTATTCAAAGTTTTTCAAAGTGGCACTTGCTTTACCCTATATTTTTGGGCCAAGCGGAGTACTTTCTTCGGCTTCACCTTACTTGTTAGGCATGCTCTTATTCGTTCTTTTAATATCATTGATAGATACAATATTAGAATTAAGATATTATTTATTTGCCATTTCATCAGATGACTTATACGCAAATGCTGTCAAGGAAATTATCAAATGGAGTGATCTTCTCAAGCATTATCTTAAAACCTTAGATGAAGAGGTTTGTCTTCGTAGTTTGCTTTGTGGTAGTTTTTTTTATTTTTTATCGTTTATTGGAGTTGAGTGATACCATATCTTATTTTGCTTTACTCTAGTGCGCAATTTGATATTTATTTTTCAAATTGCTTTTTAAATGTATGACCTGAATTAATCAGACTTTATCTTCGGACAATAGCATTTGTTAACTTGTGATATTATTCCATAGGCGATCAAAGAAATAAACCCATGGGTTCTTTCATTCTTTGTATTGAATGCAATATTTTTTCTTCTTGGAAGTGCTAAATATCTAAACCATACAAATGCAGCAAATTCCATGTGAGATTAAGTTTTTGTTAGAGAAATCATGACTATCATGATTATTACCTCACCCTGGCCCTTATGGACCACCATGTTGTTTATGGTTTTCGGGAATTGTTGGGTTGGGATATAGCTTGATCATATGAACTTCAAGTTGGTAAGCTTTTTCTGTGAGGATCGAATTTTCTGTTATCTGACTTATATGCCTTGTAATACTTCTATGTTCTTCCAAAGTCTCTTGTTTAGGCTCCACAACGTGAACTTTATTCATTTCTTTCCCCCTCTCTCTCTCTCTCTCTCTGTGCATATATATATATATTTCTAATTGTCAAACTTATCTCTTTTTCCAAGCGATAAAGCTAGCTGTACGGTTGGGGTGGGGGGGTGGTTTGGCATTACACTGACGGGAGAATTGTAGATTCAACTCTAATGGTTTATGCATAATAAACTCCTGAATTTAGTAATGACAGACAAAATTGCTAATTCCTAAATAATGCAAATACATTGAAAAAAATCTTATTTTGGTCTCTATCAATGGGACGACAGACAACATATGATTCTCTACTACTGTATTATATAAAGAGTACCTCATCCTAAAGGGAAAGAAGCTGCTTACCCAAGCAACAGGAAGGATGAGGCAGACTCCTAAAACGGGATAGATCTACTAACACCTGGTGTTTAAATACGGTGCGGATTAGGGGGTGGGATGGTTGGTCTCTGCAATAAGAAAGGGACTAAGAATTAATTAAGTGTGAAGGTATAGTAAACGGAGGCATCCTTGCTTCATGATGCCTGTCAGCTTTTCTTCCATCTCGGTGGTAAGAAGGGCCCTGCAGTCTTTTACAACCTTCATTATCAAAATAAAAAAATAAAAAGAAAAAAAAAGGGTCAGCTACACTATGATATTTATATTAATGTTGAAAAACTAATCATGAAGTTTACCAAGTATTTGATATTTCTATTAATGTTGAAAAGCTAAGCCAGAAGGAACCTGGTTGATGGGGACATCAGATCGTGGAGAGTCTATCAGAGACGTGGCCGTCGATCTACGGCCATGATCGAGTTATTGTATTTCTGAGTTGTTTTATGTATTTTCTTATTTATAATGTCATATTGTATTTTCTTTATTAGTTTGCTTTATGAGTTTCCCGTTGTACCCTTTTATTAAGGGAGGTCGTATGTAAACCCTAGGGGCATTGTCGTCTTTTTATTTTGTAAGTCTTTGTACGAAGCTATTTATAGCCCGAGTGTTCTTCTTTTGAAACTAATAAATGAATGATTAAAAATTTTTCCATTGCTTGAGTTCTTGTGAGATCTTGAGAGTGTTTGAGTGGTGAATCTCTAGGAGAGTGAACTCGGATCACCCACCAACCTTGGAGACGGCCGGGTTCGTGATTTTACCTTTGTTCTACTTCTTGTTCCTCTACCCTTTGTAACCAAACTGCCGGTCACCTAACCCCATCTCCCCTTAGCCACCGGCCCTATTCTGCCTCCCCCATCTCCCCTCCGCAAATCAACCCCTCTTGAATACTTTCCTTAAATAATTACTCCTAAGTTGGGAAGTTTTAAATTCAAATTCGAATTTATTTGAGTTTGAATTCTTTCCTAAATTAAGAGAGTTATTTTAGGAAAGTTTCCAAACGCTTGCTTATTTGAATTTAAATTAAATTAGGTTGATATCTTTCTTCCCTAATTTAATTCCCCAATTTAAGGAAGCATTAAAGGCTTCCTAATTTTCTTCCCCTAGCCTCTAAGCCGCCGACCCCCCTATTAATTTTTTTTTTGGATTTGTTTCCTAAATCCAACACCCCTCTTTGAGAATTAATTCAAATAGCCCCTCCCCCCTGGACGAAATCTCATAAGCCCCAAACCTCATTATTTTCTTTCCTCAAGCAAGCATTGAGATTTGGAAACAAATCCCCCTAGCCCCCCATCCCGCTGCCCCTACCTCTCTCCTTCTCCTCTTAATTAATTCCATGCATGAGGATTAATTAGAGGATTGATTGGCACCTTTTACCTTACTCCAATTTTCCAAAACCTGAAGTTAGTTTTCCCAAACCACCTCCTCTTGGCCGGCCACCTCTCTTGCCTCCTCCTACTTGGAATTTTTGAGAGAAATCCCTCTCTCTCAAAGGGCAAACAAAAAAGGCAGCCAAGAGATTAGTCCTCTTGCCCCTCGACGCTACAAGTTTAATGCATGGCCGATCCCGACCTTGACTACGAACTAGCCTGCGACGAGCAAGGTTTCGTGCACATCCTTCACTCGACTTTCTTCGACGTCAACCCAAATATCGATTACACCGTCGATGAATACGTGGAGCACATTCTAGACACTCTCGTCGAAGCCATCGAGGAGCACTTGGTACCGTACAGTGGAGAATTACATCTGAGCCTTAACGAAGGTTTTTCAATCTTCCTCCTCTTGTATTTCCTTAGTCTAACTCTCTCTTGTAATTTGATTTAATTCATGAAGATCGTGTTCGCCTAACTCTGCTGAGCTTAGTAAACGTAGGATTGAATGCACTTTATTTGCTTCTAATCTTATTGTTAGATTAGAGATTTTTGTTGAAAGCTATTACATTCACATGTCGTTGCTTTTCTTTGTTATTTGATAATTCAAACGCTTATTGTGCAACTTGTCCTAAACAGAAGTGACCGCTCTTATGTTTTATTTGGTCATTTTAATTTTCTATTAGTTCTAATCAAAATTGTTTTCTTTATCAAGAAATAGTGCAAGTTCTTTTCACATCGCTTTAAGCATTGTAGTTCTACATCACTGGTCCATCAAGGAGTCCACCTCAATTTAGATGCTATAGTATTAATGAGTCATATGTACTTCCAATATGCTGAAGAGACTTTTAGTTTAACTAGAAGGGAAGAGTCAGCCATATGCAACTAATACATCTTAATATTGAATGCGCAGATCATAGAAAGCACGAAATGAATATGAAGAACTAAATACAAATGTCTGCAAACATTCCTCAACAAGGATTAAAAGAAATTTACTAAAAGAAGAAATAATTTTTTTTTGTTTGAGCTCTAAAAATTCACGCCTCAGACTCTCTGCACCTTTTTACGAAGTGAGTTTTAAAGTATGATGTTACGGATCAAATTTTTAGAAAGCAGATTAAATTTAAGATTAGACACTACCTAGAGATTTTATCCTCATTCTGTGAGTCTTTATGATTTGGTTTCAGGTTTCTCATAGGCACAAGTCTCTATAAGTTAATTACCTCTTTTGGTGATGAGAGAAATCTTTTGATTAAGGCTAGTCATTAGATAGTTTCTAAATATACAGCGTGTGGTAGGAACAATTTTAGAGCTTGGATTTTTGGAGTTTGAAATTTATCGCTTTACACTTAAAGCAAATGGTGGGCAGAATGATAACGAACTTGATCAAGATCCCCTCATTTCGTTTTTCGGGTTGTTGTTGTTGTCCCTTGTCTACTTAGTTGTACCATTTTGTGATAAAACAACTCGGTTAGGGGGCCTTGGTCATAATCATTTACCTATGGTGTCATTTGGCGATAAAACCACCAGTTAGAGGACACATGTCTCGTCCTCATCGGCGATAGATCATTTGAGAATGAATTTTAGCGATACGCTTGATAAAACATTCGCTCTTTATGAACTAATGTTAATTTCTGATTTACCACTCCCGACGTAGATGGATTTTTACTTTAACTTTTTAGGCGATTATATTTTAGTTGATTGTAAATTTTGATAAATACTAGATTTTTTAGTTCTTATTGAAATTTGAGCCACTGAGTGGTTGATTTTTAGATTTGGGACCATTTTATTTTTAAATTAAATGGTCATTTAATGCAATCAAAAATTTGGGAGAGGGCCCCAAATTTTTTATCATAAAAGAAGACACTTCCTATATAAAAGAAACTCACTAAAATATCCAAAAGGATACAAAATACGACAATTGAACTAAAACAACTTTACTTAATAAAATAAAATAACTTACAAACTTTTTAAAATTAAAACGACTTACAAACTTGACTCAATCACTTGACGACACCCTAAAGTTGCTTCACTTTTAGAAGAAGGATACATATGGAATAACACTTGCGGAGAGACGAAAGAGATTAGAAGCCAAGACGAAGGAGGAGAAGCTCGCAAGCCTTCCAAGAGGTAGAAGAAGAAGTGGAACAAAGCTCTCAAGCTTTTTCCAATGAAAACCTCAGGTTTTCTCTCCAAAAATTATAATAATCACACACTTAAAACAACCCAAAACATCTACTATATATAGGCATAAAAGGGGAATACAAACAGCCATTATAACCACTAATTAATTCAATTAAAAGGGGTAAATGAAAAGGCAAAATTCAGTCCAGATTTCTGTACAGAAATCTATCCAGAAATCTGTCCCAAAACAGCCCCAAAAAACCCCTTCAAATACTCAAATAAATGAGCGTAATGAAAGACCAACAGGCACTATACCGAAATCCCAAAAGGCACATCAAGAAACATGGAATAAAGCCACGGTTCCAAGCAGATTCATCATGAATTCCTGCAGCCAAGCACAAGGACCAACAGCCATATTCATTTCGATAAAAGGGGGACCACGGGTAATAAATTAGGCAGCAAACCAAAGGGTCAAAGCCATCAGGGAACTACAACATCCCAAGAGTCAAAAACCAGCAGGGAATCAAGGCAATTCAAGAGGCAAAAGGGAGAGGAAGAATAGGGAAATAT